GCTGTTATAAAAATTAAAATTTTAGTATTTTATCTAATTATTTTATATAATAAATTTATATTAATTTTATATTTTAAAAATATAAATAATATTTTATTTTAATAAATTAAATAAAATAAATTATTCATATGAGCTAAAATAAATCTGAATGTAAAATTTAAATTAATTTATCTGATTATGATGAAATAGAGCAAAATGAAGAAATGTATATGCTAGTTGATTATGGCAAAAAATATTAAAAATATAAATAATACCCATAATCGGAATAATATTTCAAAAAAAATTACTAAGAATGCTTATATTTTGATCCAGAAACTTAAAATTTCATAACAAATGACGGATTATAATTTTAATCAAGTATAGGAAATTAAGTAGGAACGAATATTATTTTTGATAATAAAAAAAATTAAATTATAGGTTTATCTAATTAATCATATTTTATAGAATTATCAAATTAAGAAGAATTTTTAAAGAAATTTTAAAAATATGAGGAAAATTTAAAAAGCGATAATATAGATTTATAATAGATTTAAAATAATAAAAAATAAAAAAAAGAAATTAAATAAAATTCAGAGTCTATATATGATTGGGTTGAAAAAAGGGATAAAATTAATAGAAAAAAATAATTAAAATAAAAAAAAAAATTAGAAAATAAATAATTAATAAATTAATAAAATAATGAAATTAATTAAAATAATGAACAAAATATAAATAATACAAACAAATAAGAAAAAAAATAAAATAAAATTGTTTTAAATAAAATAATTAAAAAAATTAAATAAAAAGATGTATAAAAAAAATGAAATATTTGAAACGCTAAATGTTAAATATAAAAAAATAAAAACAATAAAATACATTATATTAATTGAATAAAAATAAATATATATTTAATTAACTAATATATATAAAAAATAAACTATAAATATATATATATATATATATATATATATATATATATATATATATATATATACATATAAATTATTTTTTTATAATTAGAATAATTCAGTTTTTTTGGCATATTTCATTTATATTTATTTTTTGATGTCTTTTTATATAAATTATTTATTTTAAATTAATAAATGATTAACTTTTTATGCCAAATAATTATTTTTTATAAAAAATTAAATTAATATCTTAATAATTCAAATTATTTTTATATTGCTTATATAAATACTTATTACATCTATATTTTTTCATCAATTAAAAAAAATATTAACATTATTATTTATTTAAAAAATATTAAAAAACACATTTTTTAAATTAATATTTAATAAATTTATAAAATTAGAAATATTTTATTTTTAATGAAGTTTATAATACATTTTAATAAAATTATTTGAATTTTAAAAATATAATAGTTGTTCTATTTTTTAAGTATTAAATTTGCTAGTTTAATAAATTTACAAGAATGTATATAATTTATATTTATAGTTTTATATTTTTAAAATGAGATTTAATTTTCTTTTATTTATTTATTTAAAAATATATATAACTAACTAACTTATATTAAAATATTTTTAATAAATATTGCATTTAAATTACATATTTATCCATAATGATTTTATTATTAATTATATATTTAAATATATATTTTTAAAAATATTTTTTATAAAACATAATAGATCTACTTTTAATTAATAAGAAATAAAAATAATAATAATTTTAAATTATATATAAAATGATTTTATTTTTTTAATTTTTAAAAGTTTTATAAATAAAAAAACTAAAAAATAAACTATAACTTAATATTAATATATATATTTATTAAACAAAATAATTAATTATCTTTATTTATTTAAATGTAAAAGGTTTTTTATTTTTAATTATTTATTCAAAAAATAAAATAATAATAAAAAATTTAATAATAAAATATAATGCAAACACTAAATATTTCTTCTTAAAATAAAAATTATTCTATTGAAAAAAAATTAAAGCAATAAATTAAGCTATTAAAAAAATAAAATATTGGTATTAAGCCTTACGAATGGCCTTACAAAATATTTAAAAATTAATAGAAAGAATAAATGAATGAAAAAACGTTTGAAAGCCCAAAGATTAAAAAATAAAATGATGAAAAGTTATTCAGTTTTTCGAATAATAAAGCTAAAAGTTAATTTTTAGATATATTTTTATAAAAAAATGATCTTAGACTGACACTTGGACTTCCAATATATGAAAGAGAGGATTGAATTTAATTTTTTATTAAAAATAATTATTTATTTCAGTTTTATTGTGAATAAAATTAGTTTTTTATTAATATTTTAAATTATAATTTTATTTAATATAATAAGAGATAAATATTTATCTAATATATTACTTTCATAATATATAAAACTTTATTTAATAAAATAAAAAATATAAGAAAAATGAAAATCTTATTATTTAAAAGTAATAATAAAAAATTATTAGTTTATATTAAAAAATAAAATATAATTTTAAAATTCATTTATAAATATTAATGTTATTCTATTAATTATTATTTAAATTTAATTATTGTACTTAGTTAAGCAAATTATTACATATCTAATTAAATTTTTCAAAATCACCTATTATTCTATTAAATTTAATTATATATAAATTTTCTATATTATAAAGAGTATTAATAAATATTTCAAATTTTATTTAATCTTTTTCTACCTTTACTTCATATTTTGATAACTTGATTTTTTAATAAAAAAATTTAATATTAATATTTAATAAATTATATTAATACAAATTTAAAGAAAAGTTTATTATATTCCAAAGATTTTACTAAATCTTGAATCAAAAATTTAGGTTCCTTAGTAAAAACTTGTAGCAAATTAAAAGGTCCTTTGTGTACTTTAATAGCTTTATTAAATAAAAAAATAATAAAAATATAATTAGAAATTAAAGAAAAGTATACTTTATAATTAAGAATAATTAGAAGAATTATAAGAATTAATTTTATTATGATTTTTTTAAATACCTCCATTATTAATATTATTATTATTATTATTATTATTATTATTAATATTATTATTAATATTATTATTTATTTGTTTTATATTATTAATATCTTTATATTCTTTTTTCTATTAGTATTAACTATTTTCAGTATTCAGTGTAGCAGTTTTGACATTATTAGTTCTTTTGTTAGTTTTTTATTTTTGATAATTATTGATATAATTTTTACTCTTCAATTAATTAAAATTAATTTTACTATTAGAAGAAGTTGGGTCTGTAGCTACATTTTCCTATATTTTATTAATCATTTGATTTTAAATTTTACTTTTTTAATCATTAATACTTTATTAATTTATATTTATATTAATACTATTATAAGTGTTATTTGTTGGTGTTATATTGTTATTTAAAGTTTAATACTTTTAATAGTTTTTACATGAAGAAATAAATAAATTATTATCTATTGATTATTATTAATAGTTTTAACTAGTTTAAGTAAATAAATTTTTATTTGTCATTTCATTGCAAGCATATTAGATATTTTTTTTTTTATTTTTAGGAGAAGGTGAACATTTAGATGATGATTATTTGCTGCTTATTTATTTTTATTCTAAATATTATTTATTTGAAGATACTACTAAATCTTCCTTTTTTAAATTTTCGTCTATGGTCATTCTATTTGAAATAAAATTATTTTTGGAGGAGTTTTATTTTTCTTAAAAATCTTCTATTGTTTACATATTACCAATAAAATTTAGTTTTTTATAATTATCATCTATACTAAATCTCTATTGGAGATTGCTTTTATTATTTAAAGCGTTTTTTAAAAATTAGGAGTCTTAAGATTTATGAACTGCTACACTGTTGAAAGGCTATTATAATTGAGTCAAGATCTCATTACTTTTTTGTGGTTTTTAATATTAATTACTTGTCGTTTGAGGCTATTCATGTTAAAGGAAATTGTTTAAATTATTTAAGTTTTGAGCATTAGAAAAGTTATTATTTTGAGTGTTTTATAGGTTATTTTATTCGTAGGTTTGATTTAAATAATCATTTTAATATTTAGATATTAGCTAACCAAAGTTAAGGGAAGTTTAATAATCTTTGAATGTGTTTATATTTTATTATTAGGATTATAAAATGTTTTGTAAGTTTTTTTATTATTCCTGTTGGATTGTGTCTTAGGTATTAGCATTTATTATATTGTTTTTGTTTTCCAAGTATAATTAAATTTGGTTAGGGGAATTTGATTGGTATTAATTTTATAGAAAATTTTTGTTATTTAATTATTAATTATAGTTACTTAATTATTGTTATAATTTCATTTATTATTATATTTATAATTATTATTAAAATTAATATTATTAATGTTAAAGTTATTATTACCATGTTTATTCTATATTTAATTATTATAAATTTTATTGTTTGTTGTTTATAAACGTGCTTGTTTTATCAATTAGGTTTATTTGTTTTTAATTTATCGCATTATTATTATTTTCAGTATAGTTTTCATAATTATTATTTAATTCCAATTTATTATTTATATCTTAAATATTATTAATTCCTTAAATATTATTTATTCCTTGCACATTATTTGCTCCTAATATAACATTAATTCCTTATGTAATATTTGTTCCTTTTATATTATTATTTTATTATATATTATTATTTGCTTAAATATTATTGTTTGCTTAAATATTATTTGTCCCTTATATATTATTATTTGTTATTTATATATTATTTGTTTATACGCTATTATTTATTTAGTTTTATTTAAAATCTATTTGTTTGCTATCTTATTAAGGTGTTTTTTATTTTTTATTTTCTTATTTATCATTATTTTTAAAATCTTAATTTTCTTTACTACTTCTTAAATTTTATATTTAATTTTATTCACATTGTTATTTATTTAATAATAAATAATAAGTAGTAGTTATATTATTATGTTTATTTAAAATTATTTATTATTTTGCTTATTCTATATCTATATTATATTTATTTAATTATTAAAGAGTATTTTCATCAATCTTTTTTTTTTTTTTATTATTAATAAAAATATTTTATTTTTTTACATTTATTTTAGAAATTCCTAAAATAATTCCTTCGCCAAGATTTTATTTACATTATTAATACCATATATGTTTTCTTATATTTTCTATCTTTATTCTTTTTTAAGGATCTATATTTAATATTTATTTCAGTAAATCTTTCCCTTCATTAGAAACAAACCTTGGAATTTGAAACTCCCCTGCCATTATTTTTTTATACAATATAGAAGTATTAGAATCCTCAAAAGGTAAATATCCACAAATTAAAGCAAACATTATAATTCCAGTACTCCATATATCAACACTCAATCCTTCGTATTTTTATCCTGCAATCATTTCAGGTGCTGCATAGCAAGGAGAACCACAAGCTGTTTTTAATAATTCTTTATTTTTATATATATTCGATAATCCAAAATCAACTATCTTTATATTTTTTTTATAATCTAGTAATAAATTTTCTGGTTTAAGATCCCTAAAAAATAATTTATTTATTAATTTAAAAAAATAAATAGTACCTATGAGTTATATTTAAATTATGTAAATATTCGACACCTGATAAAATTTATTAAATGTATTTACAAGATTCTTTTTCATTTATTCTTTAATTAGCAACTATATAATCAAATAGTTCACCTCCTGAAGCATATTCCATTATCAAATATAATTATTTAGGAGTTTCTATAATCTTATAAATATATATAAATATAAATATAAATATACATATACATATATTTATATTTTTGTTAAAAAATTATTATTTTTACTTCATATAATTATATTATATTAGGATGTCTAAGCATTTTTAATATAAGTATTTCTCTAGCTACTCGTTCTACATCTGCTTATTCAATAATTTTATTTTTTTCTAATATTTTTATTGCTACCTGTTGGTATTATTGTATTGTTTTTGTATTTTTTACATTTTTAAAATTTTAATAATTATATTTTTAACATATTTTAATAAACTTTTTCGTTTGTTTCTATGTGGATTCCTAGCTTTACTTTGCCAAATGTTCCTTCTCCAATTGTTTTGTCTATATTTTTATTAGTTTAATGTAAAATTGATTAAGTAATTATTATAATTATTATTAAGTTTCTATTTATTTATTTATTACTTAATATATAATGGCCTATCAGCTTATCTTTTTCTGAATTTTTTGTATTATTTGTCATTATTTTTACTTTATTTTTTAAATTTCAAGGTAACCTTTTTATTTCTTTATTTTTTTTTTATATTTTTTGTATTTATATTTTAATGATTAATTTTTTTTTTATTTTTTCAATACTTTTTTATTTTTTAAAAATATAAACATAAAATAATCTATAATATTAAATTTAAATATTTTTTTTTTTTTTTTTCAAAATTTTTTTATTAAGCATTTATAACATATTTTAACTAAATTATATATTTTTTTTTTCTTTCTGTATTTAAATATTATTTTAAAATAAATTAACTTAATATACTTAATCAAATACTATTTTAAAATTATTTTATATTTTATTCGTTTATTTTTATATTTAAAATAGCAAATAAAATAATTTATCTATGCGTTTTCATATAAAATACGATTAATATATATTATATATTTGTTTATTTTTTTTAAATTATTTACTTATTTTATAATATAAAATTGCTTTATCTTAAGCATACTATACTTTATTTGTTTAATTTTTTTTTTTTAATATGAAATATAAATTTAATTATAATTAAATTGAAAATGAAAAAATGTAATTTTTATATGAATTATATCGGATTTTTTTTATTGATATTATAATTTTATTTTTTTTAATAATTTTTTTTTTTTTTTAAATGAATTTTTTTTAAAAAAAAAAAATTAATTTTATTTATTATTATTTAAGTAATAATTCTGATATTTTGAAAATTTATAAAATTAATTTTATAAACATATCTGTACTAAAATATAAATAATTACACTATTAATCGAGGATAATTTAAATTAATTATTTAATATTATTCTTATTATATATTTTAATTAGTAATACAATTTTTTATTATAAACTTATAGTTTTAAATATAAAAATTATTTTTTTTATTAAAAATTTATTTTCATATTAACAATTTTTATTTATATTAAAATTAAATTTTATTTTTTTCATTAAAAAACTATATATAAAAATATAAAAAATTAAAATAATATAAAAATAAAATTATTGAGAAAAATTTTTATTATTATTTTATTATAAACTAATATTTATTTTTTATTTTATTTAACAAAATATATATTAGATATAAACTTTAATTATATTGTAAAATTTCAAAAATAGTATTTAAAAAGAAAGCTTACACTATTATTAATTTTTAATAATCAATTTAATATAATTTTATTATTTTTATTTTGATAAGAAGAATTATTAATAATTATATATATAGAATAAAATATTTATTGTAAGCCCTAATTGATTTAGGTCTTTTTAATTATTACCATGGGTAGTTTTAATTAAGGCCTTTTTAACTATTTTTTTAAAAGCAATTCGACTAAGGACTCTAATATAAAAAATATTTTTTGGGTGGTTTTAATCTATTGGGGTAAAAAGATTTTGTTATATATATGCTGTATATATATAACCATAAAAAGTAATTTTAATTTTTATTATAAGCCAATTCGCATTAAAATAAAAATATAAGTAAAAATTAAATATTATAAAAAAAATATTTAAGACACTTTTAAAATATAGATCAAAACCAAAATGAGACGGTTTAATTAAAATATTTAGGGTTTATTTAAAATAGCGACTTTAATCTTAATCGATTACGATTTATATTTATTTAATAATAATTGTACAAGAAATTTAAAACTTTAAATAATAGTTTGAATTTATTTATTATGAGTTTATTTATTAGTAAATGCAAAATAATATTTTAAAAGAAATAAAAAAATATAATATATCATTAAAAAATTAATAATCCATTAAAAAATTGATAATATAAATAATAAAATTTGATTAATCCAAAAAAAAAAATATAAATTATAAATAAAAATTATTAAATAAAATTAATTTTATTTATTAAATTTGCTTTTTTAAAAAAAAAAATTTCCTAAAATCTTAAAAAAAACGGAAACTAAAAAAAAAAAACTATTCGTTTTTATGCAATTTTTATTTTTTTTAATAATGATAAATAAAAAAAAGAGCAAAACGTATTTAAATAAAGCAAAAGTCTTTACGCAAAATAAATAAATCAAATAAAAACCAAAAATATTTAATAATTATATAATAAAAAATAAAAATAATAAAAATTATGAAATCATTCATCATTTTAGCTTTATTCATAACTTTAGCCTTTTCAAATTTTTCTTAAAAAGAAGCTCATTTATCACTTGCTGAAGTAAAAAAATAAAATAAAAGTCAATATTTAATATTAAAAATTAACAATAGATCTATAAAAGTGCATTTGGTTCTACTATTTTAAATGCTATTTAAATGAACATAAGCAGTCAAGCTACATCTGATGATATCATAGCATTAATTGATTAGATTTTAAATTAATTGTAAGATGCTCAAATTAAAAAAAACACCTAAAATGAAGTCGACGTTTCTAACTATGCTTTATAAGTATAATAATTATCTGGCAGAATTAAATAAACCTTAGACGATACTGATACTACTAGAAATGAAATAAAATTAAGCGAAGAAAATTTAGAATAATATAAATTGATTAAATTATAAGCTGAAAGTGATTACTAAAATGCAAACTAAAAAAAATATAAAAAATAAAATATATATATATTTTTTTTTTTTAAAAAAAAAAAAGATTGTTAACTCAATAGAAATAGGAACTGCTGAAAGAGAATTAGCACATGCTAACTGGTAAGAATCTGATAGTGAATTAGCTGCTGCTTTAGAAGCTATTGACTAAGCTAATGTTTTACTTTAACATTTGCATAATGGAGTTTCTTTTGTTTAATTATCATTGAGATTTGGTAAAGTTTTGGGGAAATTAAAAAATTTGAAATCAAAATAATCTTCATTATTCAGACCTGTAATTATGGCTTTATCTTAAATTTAAGATAATTTGAATTACGATAAACTCTAAAAAATCATAGAATTATTAGTAAACTTAAAAAATACTTTAAATGATGTAAAAGACATTAATCAAAAAAATGAAACTAAAAATACTGAAAAATGGGAAAATAGACTTAATTTATTAAGTGAACATAAATAAAAATACTCTAATATCGTCAGAAATTATAAATAAAATATTATAAATTAGGAAGAATTCATTTTTCATAGAAAAAATAATCTTAAAAATGAATTATATATATTTGATACTTTAACAAATTAAAAAAATGAAGCTGAAGAAAATTTTAAAGAAGTTTAAGATTAATATAAAGCATTTAATAAAGAAATGTAAAATTATTTATATTGCATTTTTATTATTATTAATATTAATATATTAACAAAAAAAATAAAAAAAGTGAATTCGAGATTGGAATTCTTAATAGATTAGTTAAACTTTTAAAAAATAAATTTAATGCAATTATTACATTCTTTTAAATATGAATAAAAATAAATAAAAAATTTAATATAAAAAATAAGAATAAGATATTTATATAAAATAAAAAAAAGAAAATTAATATATACAATATTATTATTTTTTTATTATTTAAATAGTAACTAAAAATATATATTAATTTTAAAATAATAAGTATTAATAATATTATTAAAATATATTAAATGTATATATAAATATATAATATAATATTAATTTTTTAAATTATAAATATTTATATATAATTATTATATTTTATATAAATAATAAATTTTAATAATATATATGTTATTTTTTGATTTCATTTAATTAATTAAATGTATATTTAAATTATTTTTTTCTTTATCTGTTGTTTAATTATTTTAATCTTAAAAATATTTTTTGTTTTCATTTAAAAAAAAAAAAATATATTAAATTTTATTAACTGAAATAATTAAATAAAATTTTATTTATATTTTAATTATAATTTATTTTTTAAATGTAATTTATATATTATTTAAAATTAAATAAAATAAAATAAAATTATATTCAAATATTTTAAATATAAAAGTAATAATTTTAAAACAAAAATATTTATATATAAATTAATTCATATATTAAAATGTATTAAAGTAGTGAAAATATAAAAAATTTTAAAGATTTATATAATTATAAATATTCAGATAGGATATAGCAAAGTATTAATTAACAACAAAACAATAATAATAATGTGAAAACTAATCAATAATTATAAAGGCTATCATCATTTTCCTAATAAAAATAATAAAATAAAATTGTTATAAATACAAATGCATAAGCTCCTAAAAAAAATTAATCAAAAGTATGAGTAAAATTATATATTTCTATATTTATTAATAAATGTATAATATATATATATATACATATATTTATATATATATATATATATATATATATATTTATATACATATATATATACATCTATTTATTTTTTCTAGCCCAAAATTATACAAATAAATGTCCAAAATTTATCCCAATAATAATAATAAATGCATATTTCTTCAAAGAATTTAGATAACACAAATTAATAATAATTTTAAGATATTTAATAATAATAATAATAATAATAATAATAATAATAATAATAATAGTAATAACATTAATATCCTTATTCTGCTAGTATATCAAGAAATCTTTCTTTTTAAAGTTAGTTACCTTCACCAAATTAATAATAAAATGGATATGGAAGTACTTAATATTTTTCTAGGTTAAGCCCTTATTAAGGAAAATCTTCTTAAGGAAATTTATTTGGTGAGAAGATGTAGAAAAATTAAATATAAAGTTAGTTATTAGAGAAATATAAAGGAACTCCTTTTTTGAATTATATTTAATTAAATCATAATTAAAATTTGAAAGAATAATATTGTTTTTAATAGCCTATTTACTAAAATTAAATGTTATAATAAGGATCTTAAGCAGATTTTAATAAAAAATAAAAAAATTCAATAATTAATAATAATTATATAAAAGAAAATAATATTAAAAATGAAAACAATATAAAAATTGAGAATAATTATTTAAATAATATTGATATAGATAATAATAATAAAAATAATAATAATAACAATAATAATAATAATAATATCGAAAATATAAAAGATTCTAGCAAACTTTTATGTAAATTTTCATTTTTTTATATATATATATATATATATATATATATATATATATATATATATATATATATATTATTAAATTATTACATATTTAAATAATATTTTTTTAAGATAACATTAATAAGAATATGTTTAATTATCAATATGTTATTGGAAAAGGTGGTTTTGGAAAAGTAAAAATAAAAAATTATAAAAAAATAAATAAAAAAAAGGTTTGGAGAGTTGAACATAAAAAAACTAAATAAATATATGCAATGAAAGAAATGCTTAAATCAAAGTAAAAATTAAAAAAAATTATTAAAATTTTATTATAAAAAATAAATAATTTTAAATAAAAATATAAAGAATAATAACTAAAAGAAGTGTAAATTCAGTAATGAGTGAAAGAAATTTACTAAGCTAATTAAAACATCCGTAAAAAAATAAATGAATATATTAATATATAAAATATATATCTATATATATATATAAATACATATATATATATATAATAATATATATATATATATATATATAATATTTATATATATGTATATATATATTATATATTATTTATTTTTATTTCTATATTTATAGATTTATTGTTAATATGAATTATGCATTTTAAGATAGAGATAATCTGTATTTATTAATGGATTTAGTTAATGGAGGAGATTTACGATTTCATATAGGTAGACATAGAAGATTTAAAGAAAATCAAACATGTAATAAAAAAAAATTATATATATAAAAAAAAAATATATATATAACAAAAAAAGCTAAATATATTTTATATAGTATTTTTTGTTTGCTGTATTATTCTTGCATTTGAATATTTACACGAAAATAATGTTATTCATAGAGATGTTAAACCTGAAAATTTAGTTTTAGATACAGATGGTTATGTTAAATTAACTGATTTGGGTGTCGCTCGTGTTTGGAGAGAAGATAATGCTTAGGACACTTCGGGTACACCTGGTTATATGGCTCCGGAAGTTATGTGTAGATAAAATCATGGAATTGCAGTCGATTATTTTGCTTTGGGGGTTATTGCTTATGAATTTATGATGGGAAGAGTTTAAACATATTTTATTTATGCATATAATTATTATATTTTATAATATAAAGAGACCTTATCTAGGTAGAAATAGAAAAGAAATTAGAGATTAAATATTATCTAAATAAGTTTAAATTAAAAAACAGGAAATACCAGAAGGATATTCAATAGAGGCTGCAGATTTTATTAATAGAGTAAATTATATAAAAATATTAATAATTTATTATTTATTAAAAAAAATATATTTTATAGTGCATTTAAAGAAAACCAGCTAATAGATTAGGTGTTAATGGTCCTTAAGAGGTGAAATGTCATCCCTGGTTTAGAAATATTGAATGGAATAAATTATTAAATAAATAAATATAAGCACCTTTTATACCAATAGTATATTTTTTACCCCAATTTAATAAAAATAAAAAATTAGGCTATTGAAGATAATTACGAATATAGATAATAAATTTCAATAGACGGAATTGATTCTAATGAAGAACTTATTTAATAAAATGCATTGCTTTTAAGAAAAGATAGTGTATAAAGTATTATTTTTTTTTTTTTTAATTATATATAATATTTTTATTAATTATTATTTAAAGATTTATTTGCTGGTTATAATTTTAATATGGAAGATTATGTAAAATAAATTGGAAGTACAAAAAACAGCACATCTACGAACGTAAATACAGAAAGAACGTAGTCTACATTAAATTCTAAAAAATTTTAATAGGATATGTCATGAAAATAAATAGATATTCTTATTTTTTTGTTTAATTATTATATACAATAATTATTATTAATATTAATACAAATATATATAAATAATTATATATACATATATATATATAAATATATATAATAAAAAAAATGAAAAATAATATATAAATATATATATATATATTAAATAATAATATCATTTTTAGAAAAAAAATATAATATTAAAATTTTTTTGTAAATTAAATTTTTAATTAATAAAATATATGAACACAAAAATAAATATTAATATACAAATTTATAATAATAAAAATTATATAAATAAATAATTAATTATATATAATAATAATTAAATATATATATACAAAATTTTTATATATATAAATAATATAAAATTAAATATATTTAAAATAAATTATTTTTATATAGATTAATTTTTTTATAAAATTATTTATATATAAAATGTATAGATATAATTATAAAAAAAATATATATTATCTTTAAAAATATATATAATTATTAATATTTTAATATATAGTTCTATTTCTTCATATTTACTTTAAAACATATTTTTTTTAAATAAAATAAAAAAAAAAAAATTAAAATTAATTTTTATATATAAAAAAAATTAATAAATCGTTTTTTTACAATTGTTGAATTCTCGTCTTATTTTTTTTTTTTAAATATCTTTTTTTTTATATTAATTTTATATAAAATAAAAAATATTTTTTTATTCATTATTTAATATTATTAATTTTTTACCTGAATATGTTTTTAAAAAATATCTTTTTTAAATTATTTAAATATAAATATATAGAATTTTTTATAGGATATATATTATATTAACATATATAATATATATATTCATTTTTTTTTTTAACAAAAAAAATATTGTATGTATGATTATTATATTTTTGGGTTTAAACAATTAAAGTTATTAATTTATATTCTTAAAAATTCAAAGTGTATATTATAAACATTTAATGTATCTATAAATCAATGTTTTAATATATAAATATAAACTTTTTTAAAATATTTATAACATATGTATATATTTATATATAAATTAATTTTCTTTATTTTTAATTAATTATTTTATTTTAGAAAATATATATTTATTTTTAGATTGAATATATTTTATCTATCAAAGATTTATGTGTTTTAGTTATTTTTAATACTTTTTAAGAAAATGTATGTAAAAGAAATACATTTTATAAATTACTAAAATATAATTATATAATAATATAAAATATTTTAATAAATTTTAAAATTTATTAACAATTATTAATAATATTAATTAGATTATTTTACAATTTTAATATTTATATTAAAAAAGTATATATATTAAAAAATTGATTTAATTTGATAAATATATTAAGAAAATTAATTAAAAAAAATAATAATATATAAATATATATATATATATATATTTATATGTATTTATATAAATTAAAATTTTTAAACATAATTTTTTTAGTATATTTTTTTTTAGTAAGAAAGTTATATTGTTTCTTATTTTTATAAATAAAAATATTTATTTATATTTAATTTAGAATTATTTTATTATTTTTAAAAAATATTAAAAATATAAATATATATTATTTTCAATAATTTAAAAATAACAAATTTTTAAATAAAATGAAACAAATATTTAATATAAATGAAATTTAAAAGTAAAATAAAATTATATATTATTTTTGATAAATTTAATATTTAAAACAATATAGTTTTTATTGTGAAAAAATGTAATGTAAAAAAAAAAAATAAGGCTTCATTATTATTAATAAAAAAAAAATTTTAATATCAAAATAATTAAAGTGATGAAAAAGAAAGAAAAATGAAAGAATATTTTAAATACCTTGAATAAAAAGAGAATGAAATATAATAATAAAAAATAAAACACATTCCAAAAGATTTAGGATAAATTCCTTTTTTATAGCTTTAAGTAATATTTATTACTTGAATATATTGTTTTTTTTATTTTTTTATCTTTTATTTTCTTTAAAAAAAAAATATGTAATATTTCTTTTAAAGAAAAATACATTCAAAATATAAAAATACTATAAGCAAATAATATAAATTTTTTATTTAGCATATTTTTTTTTTTCTGTAATTTTTTTAAATAATAAAAAATCATAATTTATTTTTTTATGCTTTTTTTTTGATTTATTAAATTGTATATTTCATACCAAAAATAAAAAAAATTACAGATAAAATATTTATTTATATACAATAAAAATAGGAATTATATAAAAAACGGACAAAAATGACAATTATAAATGACCAATTATTATTTGATTTATGGAAAAATATTAAATAGAATCCTCCTAAAGTACCTGAATACATAAATATATTAATATCTTATCACCCTGAAGACATATAACTGACCTTAATTATTTAATGTCGAATTGCTTAGAGAGAAAATGAAGAGATTTAATAAAAAAGATAATAAGAATAAAATGAAAAACAACTGAAATAAAAAGAAAAATAAGAAAAATAATACTAATAACTACTTTAAAATTAAAAATAGAAAATATAAGAATTATATAGTAAACATAATTAAGAAGATAATTAAAAAATACAATAAAATAACTAAAATTTCGGAAAGAAATTTTGCCAATTATTAATTGTTTTGCATAAAAAAAAATACCCGGAAATAAAGAAGTTTAAAAATATAGAAAACCTATATATGTTTTGGGATTCAGATGTTAGAAATAAATACGAAAAAGAGCTTAACATTAACCAATATGATGCAAAAAAATACTTAAGAGAATATTTCGAAGAAATTGGTATTGAATTTTTTCATTTACATAGAAAAAAAAGGGGCTTTGATTGTTTTAAATATGATAATTTGCTCGAATTTTATGTCAGTTTAAAATAGGAAGAAAAGGAAAAACATGATTTAGTATTTTTTTGTGAGGAGGATTTTGAAGAAATGATTAATATATATATGGAGAAAGTATCGGAAATTCAAAAAGAAGAAGAGGAGAGAGTCAATAGGTAAAAATAAGAAGAAATAAAAGAAAAAGAAAGGCTTTTGAAAAAAGTGTTGAAAGGAAAAGATATAAAAGGACATACCTTAGAAGGACTTTCAGTTGCGAAAGATAGACTTAATATTGGGAAATAATTATTGGTTTATAGAAGAGAATATCCCAAAGATAAGGTTTTAAGAAAAATGATTTTAGATGAATTTTAGTTGAATAAAGTATGTAAGCATCCACTAGAATATGATATTAAAGATGAATGGGAGGAAAATAAAATTAAATAAAGGTAGGTTTTAGATGTTTGGGGTAGTAAAAAAAATGAAGGATTTTTAGAGTTGGAAGATTTGGAAAGACCTTTAGATAAAAAAAGTGAATTTATAGGGAAATTATTTGAAGAAGAAATAGAAAATTACTATTATTTATATTAAAGGGAAGAAGATGAAAAGGATTTTAAGGAAAACTTAAAAATTTAATAAGGAAAAAAAATAAGAAAAAAAATGGAGGAAAAGCTTTAGAATATATAAGAATGAGAAAAAAAGATTTTATAAAGGAGATGATGATAATAATTATATTTATTCTGTTAATTTTTTTATTTAGAAAATTTATTTAGAACTTTTAGAAGATTAAAAATATGAATTTTTTATGAAAGCTTTTTTTAAAGATTTTTCAGGAAAATAAAAAGTATTTTAAAAATATATATTTTATATATATATATATATATATATATATATATATATATATATATATATATATATATATATATATATTTTATATATTTATTTATAGGCAATATCCTCCCAAATTTAAAGCCTTTTTTTCAAGATTGTCAGAGAATTTGCTTCTGAAAATATGTAAAAAGATAAAAGTATAAAATTGCCTTTTTGGGCTCCTTCTGGTAAAAAAGGAATTACTTTTAATTTTACAATATGTGATTTTTAGAAAAAATAACAACATAAATATCTATCAGAAGAAAGAAACAATAATAATTGTTTATGGGAAAGAAATTTATAGAATAAAAAATTAAAATTTCTTATGAAATTCGATGATGCAAAAGAATGCACTTTTTAACCAATGGTAGGTTGTAGAGCACCTTAATATATAAAAAAATATTTAAAAGAAGAAACTACAATAGAATATGCATAAGAAGTTTTAGCTATTCTCTTTTCAAAAAAACCTAATTTTGAGAATTGGGTGTAAAAAATGGGTCCCTAGTTTATAATTAAATTCCCTAAAATTTATAGGTTTGGAATATATAAAAAGTGCTTGAGATTATTAAAAAATCATTAGTATAAATTAGCTTATAAGACATGTGGGGAAAATTTTAATATAGAAGAAATTTGCAATTAATTCGAAAAATAAAATAAAAATTAATTATTAAGGTAATTATATTTTTTGGAAAAAATACATCCCTAAAAATATAAGTAAAATGAAAATTTTTTCACTCCTTCTAATACTAAATTCCTTGAAGATGTCTACTATAATATTATTTAAGTTATTCTTTATTAATAGAAAGTACTAGTTGATGAAAATTAGAATTTTAGGAACCTTTCATTGAATTTAGATAACAAAAATACACTTAAAAATGAAATTTGTCCCCTAAAAGTAGACTGTCCTGATCTTATTAAAACTAGATGGCCGCATGGAGATTTAAATAATTCAATCCCTTTGGGTAAGAATTGCAAATATGCGCATTCAGTAAACGAATTGAAATTCGTATAGGAAAAAAAGGCTTAATTTAATGCCATAAGCAAACATATAGAAAAATTAGAAAATCAAATATGCAATTAAAATGATGAAAATAAAAAGACTTGGAACCCTAGTAATAATTTATTGGAAAAATGCACAGGATGTGGGGGTAAAGGAGGATGTTATTTATGTTAATTTAAACATTAAAATGAGGAAAAGATAGAAAATTCAAACAAAAAAAGTGCAAAAAATAAATGTTTTTATTAAAATAAGAAAAGTTTTTAAGAAAAATAAGAAAAGAAGAGAGATATTGAGAATTTTTTGATTAAAAAAAAAGGAATTTATTAAAAAGTTGAAATTCTAGTCAAAAAAGAGAGAATTTTAGAAGCTTTTAATATTATAGGAGACTTAGTTTGTGAAATTAAGGATAAAATTGATGAAAATAAATAGAATTCGGAAGAAGATTTATTTATTAATTATTAAATTGAATAACTTTATTTTAAAATTATGAAATTATTAAATGATAAAAAAAAATAAGTGTTAAATATTTAAAAATCTATTGATAAAGTAGAAAATAATAATAATATTTAAAATAAGAAAAAAGTTTAAGAGTTTCTTTCAAATGATAAAAAAGTTAATCTTCTATAAAATTCTATTAATTCAATATAAAAAAATATCAATAATACACCAATTGTATGGAATCCTACAAGTGCATAAGATGCTATTTTAACTATAGAAAAAATGTCTGAAAAAGATAAAAGAAAAAACTTAAAAGATAAAGGTTTATAAACTTAATTGTATAATCTTAGTTATGAAGAAATTTTAAAAAATCCATTACTAAATATATATAATTGACTATTAATTATATATATATATATATATATATATATATATATATATATATCATATTTCTAAAGATATTTTTAAATATTATAATATATAATTAAATATGGTTTCGTATTTTTCATTATATAGTGATTTTGTTTTTGGTATTTATTTCTGCCTTTAAAATATATTATTATTTCGTTTGTATTTTTTACATATGTATATTGTTAATAATAGTTTTTATTAGTAAATGAAGTTATTATAAATATATATTTTCATATTTTTTTAATATAAACATTATAATATTTTCTTTCATAATCTATATAATAGCTTTATATAATTTTTATATAAATGAATTTTTTTTTATATTTTCTTTTTTTCATTCTATATTGAATTATTTAATTTTAAATTATCATTATTAAAGTTTCTATTATTAATTTTTTATTATTATTTTGTATATATTTTCGTCATTTCAATATTATTATTTTTATATTTCATGATTGTGTATTTATTATCGTTAAAAATAAAAAAATAGATGTTTAAATTATTAAACTACTCTCTATTTGTTATTAAACTATTAGTTATGGAGAATTTTTACTTTATTTACGAAAAAAATAAATATTTTTTTAGTATTTTTTTTGACAAAAAATAATTCTTTTTTTATCATTATTTTAATTAATATATTATTTTGTTTAAACAAAAAAATTATAAATAAAAACCCATAAATAAATATAATTATTTATAGATATATAATAAAATAATTTACTTAGTAAAGAATAAGGGAGAACTATAATAAAAAAAATAATTAGAATATATTTTATTTTATTAAATATAAAAAAAAAAAATTAAATTACGCAGTTTTATATATACAAAATGTTTATACTTAACAAAACAATAGTATTTATATAAAAAAATACTGCATAAAATAAAATACAATTAGAGCTAAAAGCACGAAAACAAGAAATAAAAAAATGATCGTTTTCGTCGTCAGTTATCTAAACAAAACAAAACCATATATATATTTTTTATATACATAACATTTTTTATATATATATATATATATATATTATTATATATAATAATATTACTATATAATACTTTTATATATATAATACTTTTATATATTTATATATATATTTAATAATATTTTGTTCATTTTTTATTTAAATTATTTTTCGCGACCATAAATCTATTATTCCAATCTTAACAAACATATTAATCTACACATGGATTTCCATATAAACAACTACATCCTTCTGTTCTTTATTTTTCATTTTTATTTCCTAATGCACTAAAATCAGCTTTATACACTTTTCTTTTAGCTTCTGCCTCATCATTTTTCAAAACAACACACCAATAAATATTTCCTGTCTGCAAATTTTCAAATACTTTACCTTTACCAGACCCTTGACTAAAAAATTAAATAGATTCATCAGGTTTTCCATCTTTTTCAGCTGTTAAATAGAATTAATAGCCTTTTTCATATGCATATTCTAATGCAAGCTCATCATCTACTAATGCATAGTTAACTTTTCCGTCTTTTATTAAAAATTCAACTTTAGATGTGGGACCACCAGTGTTTGTTTTGATGTTTATTTTTCCGTTTTTTCGTTTTTCGAATTCTTCTTTTTATTTTTTTTCTTCTTCTTCTTTAGCTTTTAGGAATTCTTTTTCTTGATTTTCTTATTCTTCTTTTTATTTTTTTTTAAGTTTTTCTTCTTCTTCTTGTTTTTATATTATTTAATCTTCTATTTGCTTTTTTTCTAATTCTTGCCTTTTTTATTCTTCTTCTTTTTTTATACGTTCTTCTTCTAGCTCTTTTTATTTTATTTCAAATTCTTCTTTTTATTTTCTTTCTTCTTCTTCCTTTTTCTTCTTTTCATCTTATATTTAATTATTTTAAATTATTCCCGATTTTTGGACTTGTTAAGCACCAGGTTTTTAATTTATTCCTTGTTTCTATATATTATACACTGCTTTTTATGCTACTTAAGGACCTTTCTATACTGGAACAGGTTAATTTGACTTTTAAACGACTGTTTATGCTGCTGGTTTTTATGCAGGTGTTTATACTGCTGGTTTTTATGCAGGTGGTTATACTGCGGGCTTTTATGCAGGCGGTTATACTGCGGGCTTTTATGCAGGTGGTTATATTGCGGGCTTTTATGCAGGTGGTTATACTGCGGGCTTTTATGCAGGTGGTTATAATGAGGGTTTTTAGGTGGTTTTTTATGGAGGTTGTGTTTTTGGAGGCATTTTAATTTTAGTTTTTTGTATATATATTTTGATAAAAAAATCAAATAAAAAAATGAATGATTTATATATTTTTTGGTTAAAAAATAAATAAAGATTTTAATTAAATAAATATATATTTGAAATTAACTAATGTATATATATTTTCAAAAAAAAAAAATTCTGAAAAGTATTCATTCAATTTCCCAAAATTAAAATAATTATAATTTCATGAATATTTATTATATAAATATAATTTAAGAAATGCATTTTTTTATGTTAATTTTGAATGTCTCATTGATTAAGATTCCCGAAAAAATATAAATTAACTTTATAATATCTAAATTATTAATTCTATTTTTTTTATATTTATATTCTCAAAATTCCTATATTGGGATAAAAGAAAAACTAATATTATTTAATAATTTATATATTGGATTTGAAATTATATTATAGATTTATAAGGAAATTGATAAAATAAATCAGTTAATAATTTGTAAATATATCACAAACTAAATTAAAAATATTAAAAATAGAATTTATTACAATCTTCAAACTAGAAAAAAAAATGTTTATTAAATTTTAATTTATTCTCTAAAAGTATATAAATTAGAAATTTAAAAAAAGTAACATATTAATGAATTTTCATTAAATATTTATAAGGTTTTCTAAAAAAAAAAAAGCTATAAAATAATATATGAGCTTTATTTCTAAAATTTCATTACTATTTAATTTCATGAAAATTTTAAACATATTAATTAATTTTGTATACTTCTAAATTAAAAAAAATTATGTTTTAATAAATAAAGATAAACTAAAAAAAAAAAAAAATATATTAATATATAAATCTATTAAAATATTTTATATATATATATATATATATATATATATATATATATATATATATGAATATATCTTAAATTATTAATTTATTATTATATAATTAATTAAATAAAATTAAAAAATGTAAATTATCCTTATTTATTTTATTAATTATTTTTAATAATAACTTAAAATTTAAAAAAAGTATATATATAATATATTACTTAAAATATATTTATTTTATATAAAATATTGCATTTTTTTTCAATAATATTAAGTATATTTTAAAAAATATTCATCAAATCTATATAAAAACTATTTATATATTTCTCTTAATTATAATATTATTAATATAATATATTTTGCATTCCTTTAAATCAATAAAAATCATATTTTTTTAAATTTATATTAATAAATTTATTTTTATATGTATAAAAAAAATATAAAAATATATGAGAATACTAAAATAGAATAATTTTTAAATCAATAAAATTTGTTAATTATAATAATTTTTATATTAACGGACTTATTAAATAGTTTATTTTGAATTTTTATATTTAACATATTTATATAATCTTTTAATTATTATAATTATATTTTTACCTTTTGAAATCAATAACAATCTTTTTATATAATTTTTTCGATTTTATTATATTAAAATTTTAAATATATATAAATATTTTTTTATAAACATACTATTATACTAAATCCTTCTTATTTATATATTTTTTTAAAAAAAAAGCAAATTCTAACATTTTATAATTTTTTATTTTCAAAAAATAATAATATGAGGTTAAATTAAAAAATTTTCTTCAATATTTTTTTACTTTATTAAATTTTTTAATTATATAAAATCGTTTTTTTTTTTTCAGAATTTTTTTTAAAAGCTTAAAATATATTGTATATTGTCATAATTTTAATAATTTTAAGAAATATACTAAAATACTATAATAGAAATTAATAAAAAGTTGGATGATAAGAAATTATTTTTAAGTCTATAATACTATTTATTAATTTTAGATTTAAATAAGTTGTATGTATATGAATATTATTTTTTAAATACTTATATTTAATGAATAAATTTTTAATATATAATTAACAAAAAAAACATTTTATTTTATTTTTTTTGATATTTTTTTATAAATAAACTTAATAATTTAAATTTATTGAAAAAATAAAAATATATCTATTTATAAAATTTATTATTTTTTAAAAAAAGATAAAAACTAAAACACAATTTAAATATTTAAGTAATTTATGCATACTAAAAAAATAATATAATCAAATTTATATATACATATAATATATTTATATATAAATAAAATAAAAAACAATGCTACCTTTAAATTTATAAGATTAAAATTAAACATAAGAAGAATAAATATATGAATAATTATAAAATAATATTAAAAAAAAATCAAAAACTACGATTTTTAGGTTGCAAGGAATAAAGATTAAAAAATAGACGTAAACACAAATAATATAATAATAATTAAATAAATAAATAAAAAAGCATATAAATATATATATTTATCTAAATTAAAGGATTGTATATGTGTAATATAATTAAGACCCGAGAAACGTTAAAAAACAGAAATCGAAATAATATAAAATGCCATAAAAGACTTTCCTTTTTTCCAAAAACTACAAAAAAAAACTATATAAATTAAATAAAACAAATATATAAAATAATAACACACACTAAGAAAAAAAAGGTGAATTTTTATTTTATTAAGGCGATATAGCCGATAATTTTTACATTTTACTCCGCGGGAAAGTATCTGTTTTAACTTAAAAAGATAAAAACACTATTGAAATGTAAAGAAAAGAACTAGGAAAATAAAATTGTTAATATATACAAGAATATATATAATAACTATAATAATAATATATATAAAAATAAGAATATTTAAAATAAGCAAAAAGCCCATAAAGTAAAAACAAAAAGAATTAATGTTAAAAATAAATTCAGAAAAGTAAATAATTATAAAAATAAAAAAGCAAAACAGAGAATAATGAAAATGAAACATCAAAAAAAAATTATGAAAATAATAATTAATAATATATTAATAAATAATAATAACATAAAAATAATAATAAATAATATAATAATATAATAATAATAATGATAATAATGATAATAATAATAATAATAATAATAATAAAAATATATAATAATTACATATTAATAATTTTTAAGAATATATTAATATATCTTATTAATATGATTATTTAGATTAAGAAGAAATTTATTAAAACGAATTAATTGATAAATTTAAAAGATCTCCAGGAAAATAATAAAGCTATATTTTTTAAGATTCTCAATAAAAAAAATATCATTAAATAATCGCTAATTAACTTCCTCAAAGTATAAATATTTATGAAATATATAACCCTATAAGACTTTTTGACAAAGGAGTATATTTATTTAGCACTGTAAATACTATTAAGGAAGGCGGTACTTTTGGTGAAGGTGGACTTTTATTAAAAGAAAAGAGAACTGCTAGTATTCTGTGTGTAGAAGATAGTGATTTTGCAATTATTTCAAGGGAAAATTTTGATTTGATTTTAAATGTAATTTAAAATAAGAAAATAGAAAAATAAATAAATTCTTTTGTAAATATAATGGATAAAAATATTCCTTTTTAAACAATAAGTAAATTTTGTTTTAGCTTTTAATAGAAAATAAAATTAAAATATTAATAATCAGTATTTAATTAATATGATGATGTGCATTGTATTTATTTTATAAAAAATGGAGAACTTGATATTTTATAGATAAATAAAGATAATAATTAAACATAAGAAGATTTAGAAAATTATGATCTAATGAAATAAAATAATAAACAAACATTATAAAAAGTAAAATGTATAAATAAATAAATAAAATATTAATATTATTTATATTATAAATATAAATATATTTATATATTTATATATATATATACATATATACATATATTTTTTTTATATATAACTATAGATTTCTACTATCTCAAAAGGCTAATTTTTCGGCGAAGAAGATATTTTAAATGGTTTATATTAACGATCTTACTCTGCTGTAGTTAAAAGTTTTTCTGCAACAATATTAATAATGCCATCTTCTTAATTTAAATATTATTTATATTCAAGTTCCTCTATTGGAGATTTTTTTTAAAAAGTTCTTCAATAAAAACATGTATGGCGTACAAAACATAAATAAAAAGTAGATTTAACTAAAAATTTTTAAACTTTACAAATAGAAGAAGTTAATATCAAAAATATTGAAGAAGATGATAACAAATCTGCTGTCGAAAATGTTGATAAACTAATCAGATAATATAATTAAAAAGAAATAAATGTAAACCCAAAAAAGATTTCCTCTTGTATTCCTGAAAACTAAATAAATATCTCCAGTGCACATATAAATAAAAACTATTAATATAAACCAGCATCATCTAATTTAAAAATATAAATATCTTAAAGCAATATTAAAAATAATAAATAAAGTTTACCTTCTTTAAATGAAATATTATAACATGCGATTACCTTTTAAGATGAATATAAGATTAAAGTCAAAAATAGACTTGAGAAATTCTAAAAAGACTAAATGCTTAAAAAAAAAAACTAAAGGCCATTTAGTTCTAGTAATTTTTCTAAAAATAATTAATTTGAAATCAAAAATAATTCCTAATTATTAAATAATATACAATAATTTCTAAATTCTATATTAAATAAAAATAATAAAAACTTGATTTAAATAAACAATAGTATTATTAATAATAGATAAGATTAATAAAATAATATATAAGATAAATAATAGTAAGAAATAAACAATTAATCAGATTAATTATAAGAAAATTAAACGTAAAATTAATTAAAATATATGAATTAATAATAATATTTAAGCTAATAATAATAAATAAATAATTAATAATAAATAAATAGCTAATAATAATAAAAAATAGAATAATAAATAAATAAATAAAAATAAAATATTACAAATTAAAAATAATCAAAATATTAATAATACATAAATTAATAAAAATATTATAATTTGTAATAATAATTATATAAAAATTAATATTATTTAAAAAAAAGGCCATTAACGGCTGAAAGAAAAAACTTTTTTAATAAAATAAAAACCTAAAAATAACTCTAAATATCAAACATAAATGTCCGTAGTATTTTCCAAGAACAACTTGTATTGGAACATAATTTAAAATAATATCATAATAATAATACTTCTTATAATAATTTATAATAAACAAACTCTTTTCAATATACTTCTTTTTAAAAAACTAATAATAATTATCTTTAAAATTCGAAAAATTAATTTTAAAATAGTTATATTTAAAGTAATATTGATAAAAACAAAGCTTTGATTAATTGTATATATATGTCAGCTGAAAGTGCATAAGAATTAAATAAAATTATTTAATGGAAATATTTAAAAAATAAATGATTAATAATAGTAATAATTATAAACTTGATTTTAATTTTATTTAAGAATAAATGGTATAGAAAACAAATAATAACAAATAATAAAAATAATATTAATAATAATAATAATAATAATAATAATAATAATAATAATAATAATAGTATATTTCTTCAAAAGAATTAAATGATTAATAACTTAGTCAAGATTATTTTACAAATAATTAAATTTAAAATAAAATCAATTCTAAATAAAATATAAAAGTGAAAATAAATGATAATAATTCATAATAGAGGTAATATTCAAGTACTTTTAAGAATTATTCTTCCAGTAAAAAAGATTTTAATTTAATTAATGAAAGTTAAGATATAGATAAAAAAATAAAATTAATATATAAAATTAAAAGGCCAAAAAAATAATAGTGAAAAATCCTTTTTATATATATATTTATTTTGTGTATATTTTTATATATATATTTAGAAATAATTTTCTATTAAAAATAAAAAAAAAATCTTTTTTATTTTAATTTAATTATTTTAATTTAAAATAAAAAATTATGTTAAAAGATATATAAAAATATTAATTCAATTTTTATTTAAAAAACAAATGTATTTATAAATAAAATAAAAAAGTTAAGCATTTATTTTTATAATTTAAATAAAAAAAGTTAAGTTGATTTTTCTATAAAAAAAATAAATAAATTAAATATAAATCAAAAACATATTAACAAAAATAAAATAAAAAAATATAATAATGAAATATTAAAAAGACTATAATTTACAAAATAATTAAATCTTATTTTTTTTTTACAATAAAAAACTTATTCATTAAAAAATCATTTACATTATTAAAAATAAATTTACAATTTTTTAGCTAATTAATTTTATTAAAAACATAATTAAAAATCTTTATTTAAAAATAATATCAAATTAAAGGTGGAGGAGAGATTAAGGTGGGGATTAAAAAAATATTTAAAAATAAATCTTTTAAAAATATATAAATTCTAAAACTAAAAATATCAATAAATTTAACAAATAAAAAAAAAAAATATAAATAAAAATAAAAAATGAATAAATACTTAATAACTATTTTTTTAATATTATTAACAATAATATTCATAAACTAACTCATATAAAATCCAATCTAAACCAGAAAACTTATTTAATCCCGTAAAAAAGGAGATATTATAAGTAATGCTAAATAAGGTGAATACACTTATTTTGCTTTTGAAAGAGAATGGCCTGGTACAGTTTGTAAAATAAGATAATGTAAACCCTAATATATGGGCTAGTTTGATAGTTAAAATTTTAATATACATGGATTATGGCCTAATGGTTCTTAAACTGATAATTGCTTTTATCCTTAAAAATGCGGTTCTGAATCTTTAGATTTAAAAAAAGTAAATTCATCTTCAAGAGCTTAAATAAATAAATATTGGAATGGTCTTTATAATGATAATAATACTTTCCTTTCTCATGAATGGTCTAAGCATGGAACATGTTTTGATGGAGATATGAATACTTTCTTTAGTTCAGCTGTTAAATTAAATGATAGATATAATCCTATTAAAGCTTTGGCTTAGGCTAACATTGTACCTAATAATAAATAAGGATATAGTCTTGAATCTATTTTAAATGCACTTTAATAAGATTTTGGAGCTGAAGTAGAAGTTATTTGTAGAAAAGTAAAAGAATAATAATTACTTTTTGCTATTGATATGTATCTTAATAAAAATTTAAAAGGAGCTATTAAAAATCCTTGTAGAAAAAAAAGAAATAATTGTAATTATTAAGAGATTGTATATATTCCAACTTGTTGATTTTTAGGTATATTAATTTTATTTGTTTAAAAATTAATTAAATTTGTTCAAAAAATATTATAAACATGAAAAATAAAATATGTAGTTGTAGTATATAAATATAGAAATAATATAGATAAATAAAAATATATATAAATATATATATATATATATATATATATTTAAAATCCTAAATAAAATAATTAATAACAATAATAGATTATTTTTATATTAAATAAAAACCAAATATATAATTAATAATCTATATATATACTCTTAAATAATTAATTATAATAAAAAAATATATCATAATCAATATAAATTAAATTACTCAAACGAAATAAAATTGATATGATGAACATTTATAAAATATTGATTATTAACATATATAAAATAAGTAATAAATATACTTTTTAGAAAATAATTTATAAAAAATTAAATATATATTTAATATAAAAAAAATTAAAAAGAATAATAAGTATAAAAATTTAAAAATAATTAAAAAAAAAAATTATCTATTTATAAATTTAATTAGTTTAATATGAATATTTTTTTATTTAAAATATTTATATTTATTAATAACTTTTAAATGAATTACTAAAAAATAAAAAAATAAATTAATAATACTAAATATATAAATTTTTTATTTTTTAATTAAAATAATTTTGATTTTTTTTTTTTATAATAATGTAGTTTATATATTAAATTTTAAATTTAATATTTTTTAAATATGTATAAAATGCTTTAAAAACTATAGAATCTGCATTACAATTTGATTTATTATCCAGTTAATTTTTTTTTTTTAAATATATGTAATTTTTTATCGTCATTAAACTATAAGTATAATATTATTGAGGTGAAATAATTAAAAAAATCTTTAAAAATTATAAAAAAATCAATTAATATAAATCTTAATTAAAGTTTTTAAAATTAATAATGGAGTAAAACACTATTGTATGAAAATTAAAATTGATTTAACATTTTTTCTTATAAGAATTTAAAATTTTGTTAAAGTTGTTTTTATTATATTTTAGGAATTTTATTGAAAGAGAAAAAGTAAAATTACTTAACTAAAATTTAACAATTAGGTATGAAATTTAAAAATAATAAAAGTATAAAAAATAAAAAAATTTAATAAATTAAAAAAATATTGATATGAATAAATATACTTTTTAATTTTCAAAAAACTTTATAAGCACTTAAAATATAACCACTAAATCCACTCATATTAATAAAAGGATGTGTTCTGTTTTTTAGAACCTTAATGTAAAAAAAAAAATTTAATGATAATTTATATATATAAATAATATACTTAATATTATCTCATAAAAATATCAAAAACTCTAACATTTATATAATTTTTTAATTTAAGCATATATTCAGAAGGTTAAATCAAATTCTGAATAAAATAATAAAAAATAATATATAAAAATAAAAATTAATAATATATAAATAAAAATAAATATTAATAGATAAGTATATAAATATATAAATATATAAATATATAAATATATAAATATATATATATATATTTATATTTATATATAAATCTACTTCTAAATAATTTGAATAAGCAATAACTGTTGCATTAGGAATTAATAAATCATTCATTTTTGTAATAATTTCTAAAACATCGAAATCTCCAACAATCAAAAGACTATAAAATGAAAAATATATATTATATTCAAATATATATTTTTATAAACTGGGTAAACTTATCTTCTTTTTTTTCTACAACTTAATTAGCATCTCTAAATTATATAGACTAATCTCCTAATTCTTTAGGTATATTCATTTAAGAATAACATGTTATTTAATGAAAAGGAATTTTTTATTTAAAATAATGTATTTTTCCTTTTCCATTTAACCTTAATACTGATGCGCCTAAAATAGCACCTTTTGTATTATCAAATAAAGCTACATTAGCTCCTTAGAATAAATTAGCATAATGCATAAATATACTAAAACTATCACCTCTCATATAACTATAATAAATATATATTATTTTAATATTATTTATATATATATATATATATTTATATAATATATTTTATTTAATACTTGACTAATTTTGGATTTTCTTTAAATAGTGTTTCTATTACATTTAATGGTGTGGTTTTTAAAACTGTAAAATAAAAGCAATACCTTTATTCATATATTTGAATTATTATTTAAAAAATTTAGATATTTACTTTTCTTTTTTCTTTTTAAATATTTTTCTTTTGAAAATGCTGTTCTTTGATTAAATTTTTAGTTGTTTTCTTAAATTATTTTTATTAAATCTACTTTTGAAATGCTTTCGTCTTTTTTCATTTATTCAATTTCTTCAGGGCTTAATTTTTATACACTTTAATCTGCAAACATATTTCTATTATCTTTATCTATTTATTATTCATCTTCACTATTTTTATTATTTTTTAGTTTATTAAATATATATTTTTTAATTAATACAATGCCTCTTCATAATTATAAAATTCATTAAAATTTTTGTTATCATATTTAATTTTATCATCTGAAAATTCAAATACTTTATTATATTCATAACCTACAATCTACTTTATATTTATATTTTTTTTTCTCCACTTTAATTTTCTAGAAAAATAAATTATATTAATATATTTATTATTATTTATACCTATTTTCTTTTAAATTAACTATTTTTCGATTATCTCTATTATCAATTAATAAAACGAAATCTTTCTCATTTATAATATTATCCTAATTCTAATTTTAATATTATACTTAGTGGCAATCTTAAACTTTTTATTATGTTTCAATTTCTGTTTCCATAAAAAATAAAAAATATATTTAATATCTAAATATATTTATATGTAATTTAATATGGATAATTTTGTAATTAATTATATATATATATTTCAGTATACGAAATTATCAACTAAAATTAGTTAATTTATTAAAATATAAATAGATAAACGTAATTTAAGGAAATATTTTAAATTAAAAATAATTATTTTTATTTAATTTATAAAATATAATAATTGATATATTGACAAAATTAAAACTTAAACTATGGATTTAGAAGCGATATTAAAAACACAATTTATTAAAAATAAATTTAAATACTTTTAAGATAAATTAATTTAAAAATAATATTAATATGTTTAATAGAGAAAAAAACACAAACATAATTTAATTATATAATAAAAAATAAAAATATATGTATTAATATAATAGCATATTTTAACAAAAAAAATAAAACAAAAATAACAAAAATAGCAAAAATATAACCTATTTTTAAATTTGATTAAATATATGTATTAATAAATTCTTTAATTTTACTCATATATTAAAAATATGAAAGAAATACTTCCTAACAGAATAAAAATAAATAAAGATGATATAAATAATATATAAAAATATAATTAAAATAAAAATATGATTAATGATATTATAATTATATATATGTATTTATTAAAAGAAAATATTGTATATGTTTTTATGAAAATAATATTAATATTTTTATTATAAAATATATTTATCTTTAAAATTTAAAAACTTTTTAAATATAAAAAACAGTATAAATTATATTCATATAAAACAGAAACTTATATATATGTGAAATTTTTACATAATTATAAATAGTAATTAATAAAATAAATATATATAAATATATATACATAATAAATATAAACATAAAGAATATAAATCATTTTTAATATATAATAGGAGTTTACTTATTTTTTTTAATCCCAACTCCATAAGAAACCGAAGTAATATTATTTTTAAAAGAAGAGAACATTTCTGGATTAATACCGTTTAAATCTAATTCATTTTTAATTATATTTCCTCTTCTTTTATTAATTTTTTAATTTTTATTCATTTTCTTTTAAATTTTTAACTACATTTGTTAACTTTTAATTTTATCCATAATTTTATCGAAATTATTATGCGGAAAAAATTTATTAAAATTCTTCAACTAATCAAAATAATCCATACAATTATTAAACTAATCAAAATGTGAGCTTTAGGTTTTTAATAAACTTTACTTGTGAGAAAATTACTTAATAAATGACAATACCGAATTTTATACTTAATTTTGGGTATCCTATAAACTTTAATAGGAAGAAGCCATATCTAAAATACTTTAATAACTATAGTTTTATACCGATAAAGCTTAATTATATATTGCATTTTATTACAAAATATTATTTTATTAGTTTTCTATTTTTTAATCATCCTTAGTAGATTCTTTTTTAATATTTTCATTATTCTTTAAAGAATTGTTAATATTTTATTCTTATTTTTTAATTGAATTGAATTTTTGTTAAATTTAAGATTTCTTCTTTTATGAATTCTATCGTTTAAATTCCTCCATAGATTTATTTTCATTATTTAATGTAGAAAAACTATTCTCATGTTAAACTTTTACATAATTTAATAAATCTTAAGCAACTTATATAGCAGGATCTATTTAAGTATTTCCATTTTGAATTTAAGTTCTTTATTTTTCCTTTTTACGAACAAAACTCTATTATTATTATTATTTTTACTAATTTGAAGGTTATATTGAAATAATTTCCTATTAATTTTATTCCATTTAATATGTAATTTATCTGCTATTTTGTATTGGTTTAGGTTATATTTTATGGTTTAGATTACTAGCGTTAAATGTTTCTGGATATTATTATTATTATTAAGAATTATTTACGGAGTTTGAATCTTTATCTATTGATGGCATTTTACTTTGATTTGATATTTCCTCTTTTATATAAGATTATTATTGTATTTATTCTAGACTAAGAATTTTATTTTATGTTTAAGGATCTTATAATGAGTTATTGGAATTCAAAAATTCATTATTTTTAATTTTACTACTACTTTATTATTATGATATAGATTCACTTTCTGATCCAGTATAAAGTACCCTCATTATCTCCTTCATCACTCTCAAATAACGCCATTATGTTTGATTTCATAAATTATGCATTAAATTTAAGTTTCTTTATATTATCAGGATTGAATTTTATTAATTATCTAACATATAATATATTATTATTATTATTGTTTGTTTTTTATTTACTTAGGATTATATTCTTTCTTTTTTTAAATTATTAATATGAAATATTTTATCTTGTTTAGGGTTATGAAAAGTTATTTTTTAAAATAAGGAATTGCTTATCAAAAATTTAATGTAATTTAGGACAATTCTATGCCATATGTCCTGGTATTTTACATGAATAACATTTCATTTAGATCGTAGAATAATCATTCTAAAAAACAATTTATTCTTATATCATTTTAAACCTTTCGAAATCGGTTTAATTTTAATTCAAAATATAAATGAGTTAATCTCTATCTATTTTGTATAAAGTTGATAAATTTAAACTTCTTGCGGAAGCTTTTCTTGGCAAACCCGAAAAAAATGAAATTTCTCCAAAGAAATCACCTGAGCTTAATTATTTGATAACGCTATGGTTTTTCTCGAATAAATTGTAATGAAATATTTCTATATTCCCACTTTAAATGAAATATATAGATTAGTTATCGTATTCATTATCCTTAAAAATAACTTAATTAGGCTATATAAGTATCTCATTCATTATATAAATTACTTTTTTTATGGTTTATTAAGTAAAATTTTCATAAAAAACATTATATTTTTTTAATATATTTGAGTTTATTTCCTATGTTATTTCATCTCTTAATCTATTTGATAATTTATCCAATATACGGTCTTCTGATTCTTTATCACGATCTTTTTGTTCTTCTTATAAAAATATTAAATAATTTCTTACTCGACTTTTTAAATTCGCGTTTACATTTTTTCTATCTAGGTATCTTTTTTTAATTATAAATAATGTGTAGAAAATATTATAAATATATATAATTTGTTTTATTTTTTTATTTATTAAAAACCTTTGAATTATACTTATGTTTTAATTTAATTCTTTTGATTATTTTTCTATTTCTTATAATATCATACCTATATTATTAATAGAATAGGCAAAAAGACAACTTGTAAAAATCATATTAACTGATACAAAAAACACTTCGTAAGGATTTTAAGGCGTAATATCTCCATATCCGACTTATTTATTTTTAAATAATATAGTTTATATATATATTACTTGTTGTCATTGTAGTTATTGACCAATATAATGAATAAATATATCTTATTTACCAATTTTGTCCTACTAAACTATATTTAGATAGCCAAGAAATATCAAAATTATATTTTTCTTCATAAATGCCTAATCCATGCCATAAAATACACACTAAATATATATAATATTTTTTAATTAAAAATTATTTTATATAAAATAAAAAATTAATGTAAACCTAAATGTGCAACTACTATAATTAAAATTATTAAATCAATCAATTTAAGAATTAATTTTTAATACTCTTTGAGTGTAATGATACATTCTACATTTTATTTTTTTCTTAATATATCGAATCCTTTAAAAAAAATAATCAGATCAAATAAAAATAGACCTAATTCGTTTTCAGGATTATGAACTAAACACTTATTATTTTGCTAAAAAATAATTTTTTAAAAAAGTACTAAAGAACTCAAAAAATCCGTAAAAAAAAAAGACTATAAGTATTTAAAAGCAATTTTTTTTCTATAACAAATCAACTAATCATTCTAAAAAAAAGCAGTATTAAAATTAATTAAAATGTCTATTAAAAATATACAAATAATAACAATAAAAAGTCTCATTGAAACTATGTTTTCCTCAAAATCATAATTAAAAAATAACAAAATCGAATAAAAATATAAAAAACATGAGACTATAAAACAATAAAGCATATTCCAAAATAATAAAAATCTGTTTGTCGGCATAAAAACTTTAATATGCCCTAAAATATTTAATAGATTTATAATTTTTCGAATTTTTTACAAAAATAAAATTTGTTTTTAATTTTTTTATAAAAAATAACTCTTATCATTAATAATGGATAAATCGTTATGATTTAAATTAATTGGTTTTGTTTAAAAATATCTATTTTTTAATATTTTTATGAAATTTTCAACATGATTTTTTATATTTATTATTCTATTTTCTGAATTATTTAATAAATTTAAGATAATTTAATTCCCTTTTTCCCTATCATTTTATGTATTAATTTCTTTACATAATTAATTTTTTTATTTTTAGTAAAATTAGGTTATTTATTTTGATATTTCTTTCCTAATTAATTATTCAGAGCCTAAAGAAAAAACTTAAATTTGGTTTTTATAAATATCCTCTTCTTTTTTACAATCGATAAATGATATTTTTTATTATAATTTTTCTTGTAATTATACTTTTATTTAATTTTAGGATATTTGTAAGTCTTATATTATTTTTGTATTGACTAATTCTAATTCTTTACAAGAGACAAAATTATCACCTTATTTTTGAAAAAAAGGTTCGAATTTTACAATGCATTCTAATTTTAAAGGTTTTTCGGTTAACATTTGTTCCATTATATTTTATTGAGAAATTAAGAGATTTTTTTTAGTTTTGCTTGTTTTTTATATCAAAATAAAAAAAATAATAATTTTTATTTAATGCAAGTATTTATAAAAATAAAAAAAGAAATTCTATAGTAAAAATATTTTATTATATAATTAAATATATTATATATAAAAAATTAATGTATTATCAATTATTTTTTTAAAAAAAAAAATAAAAAAATAAAAAAACATTAAATAATAATAATTATAATATTTTTTAATTAAATAATTCTTTATTTTTATTATAATTTGTAACAACTATAAAATAAAGATTTCCTTTTATATATATTTCTTTATTTTGATTTAATAGTGGGATACATATTTTACTATATAATTAATTGAATATTTAGTATATTTAAATTTATTTATACATACAAATATACAAAATAAAAATTGTAATGCTTTTAAATAAATATATAAATAATATTATAGTATTTAAAGAAATTACGTGTTTTTTTTAAAAAAAAAAACATTTTGACTGATGATTATAAATTAAATTATTTTGACAGGATAAATAAAAAATAAATTTTATGAAATCAATATTTTAAATACAATAAGTAATCAAATCATATATTAATATACAAGTTGCATCTGTTTAATTTATATAAATTTAAGATTTTTTTACTTATTTTTTTTAAAATATAAATATATACATATATATGCATATTTATTTTTTTATTAATTTCTAGAAGTAAATTAAATTTATTTATTTTTATTATAGAATCTATATTTAATTTACACGTTCTAATATATAATTCAATTTCAATTAAATATATATATATATATATATATATTATTTATCTTTAATTTTTAAAAATTTGCATTAAAATAAATAAAATAATAATAAAATAAAATACATAATAAATAAAAAATAAAATACAAATATTTAATATATAAATAAAAAAATGAAAGTCTTAATAATTTTATTATTACTATCCATAGTATTAACCAAACCTTTATACGACCACAACAGATCATATGTATAAAGAATAACCCAATTAAATTTCCAAAAGCAAGTCTAAAAGCTCCGGGACACATCCAAATATGTATCAATAATACATTTTTACAAACACTCTGGTAAAAAAAACATTTTAAAAAAATAAAAATAAACTAAAAAATATAAAAAAAGATGGACATTCCCCTAAATTTGCTAAAGATCTCGATTAATTCTCCTCTGAATATAGAGGAGTATTTAAAATCGGAGCTGTAGATTGTGATGCTGATTCGAATATTTGTGAGAAAGAAAGAATAACTTAATTCCCTACTGTAAGAGTTTATCCCCCAACTCCTTTACCATCTGTAGACGTTGAAGTTCCTTCCCGTGAATTAAACACATAGGCCGTTTTGAAATTAAGTGCGAGATATCTACATGATAATTCAGTAGAAATAACTAGTGCAAACATCGATACATTCGTAAAAGAACATGAGGCTGTTCCAAAAGTATTATTGTTCACAGATAAAACAGGCAATCCTATTATTTATAAAGCACTTTCTGTTTCTTTTGAAGGCAAATTATTTTTGGGTATTGTAAGACATACAGAAGAATTAGTAGTTTAAAAATATAATATTAGAAAATTCCCATCTGTTATAGTTTTAATAAATACAGAAAAAAAACCAATTATATATAAAGGAGAAATGAAATATTAACCCATCTTTGAATTCTTAAACGTCTATTCGTAAACTTTTGTACCAGGAGGTAATCAAGAAAGTTCAGCGACTAAACCTTGGTTAAGTGAAGTTGTTCCTGAAATTCATATTAAATCTAATAGAGATATCTGTCTGGGATAAGAAGGTATACTTTGTGTTGTTTTATTAAGCTCAGGTAGACCTTAGTAGAAATAAATTGATGTACTTAAGAATTTACATTAGTTATATGATAGAAAAATCGAAAGGGGTATCTAATATAAGTTCATGTGGCTTGATTGTTCTATAGAATAAAAATGGGCAGTGTTATTTGGATTTGAAAATAAACCTAAAGTTGTTATCATTAATCCAGGAAAAAGAAAAAGATTTATTGATCATGAAGGAGATCTTACTGTTAATGAATTATGTAATTAATTTTTTTATTTTAATTTTTAATTTATTTTTATTATTAGAAAAAACATTCGATAAAATAAATGGAGGTGATGCTAGATTTAAAAGATTAGCGGATAGTTAAATTCCTGATTTTAGTATAAGAAAAGATTTATGATGATGAATAAAAATAAATATATATATTTATATTTATGTTTAAACTTTTTTTATATTTTTTTTTTTTTTTTTGTATTTTAAATTTAAAAAAAGATTATTTATTTTTATTGTAATTTGTTTTGTTAATATACACTATATAATAGTTTCTTTTAAAAAATTAATTATATATAAAAATATATCTTTTTTAATAACTTAAATATTTATATAAACAAAATATTATAAAGTAATAAACTATATTTAAAATAAATGAATTAAGATTAAGAATATATATTTATATTTAACAAAAAAATTATTAAAATTGTATACTATATATATATAGACTATATTAAATATTAAAATTTTAAATATAAATTTATTAAATTTTATAAATTTATAATTAAAAGAAAATATAAATCAATATATTGTATATATTAATTTATATTTATATATTTTATAATTTTCATTTTCATTTTCATTAATATATATATATTAATTATTTTTTTTACTAAAAGTGAAAGCATTTTATTTTATTTTAATTAAATTTATTTTTATTTTTATCATATTTAAGTTTTAATATATTTTTTTAATTATAATATTTTATTAATTTTGCTTTTTTATGTTTTGTTTAGTTTATATCTTTTATCTTCATATCTTATAATATATGTTAAGAGATTTTATAAATAATCTCATAAAATATGTTTATTTTAAATTTGGACGAAATTATATTTTATAAAAATTAATTTTAATAAAAAATAAATACATTTTTTTTAAATAATTATATAAAAATTAATATAATTTTTTTTAAAAAAAATAAATAAATCATAATAATAAAATTAATAAAATAAAAAACATTTTTAAATTTTTATTTATTAAGTATTTTTATATAATATAATATTACATTATATTAATTTTATTTATACATACGTTAAAATACATATAGATAGATATATATATATATATATATATATATATATATATATATATATATATATTTATCAATAAATTTTAATAAATATTATATTTTCTTATGAAATTAAAATATATTATATGTTTAAATTTTATTATATACAAAATATAAATTATATATATATTATTTAAAACTGCATAATATACACTCAATAATTAATACATATAATATTAATATATATATATATATATATATATATTTATTATATTTATATATATAAATAAATTAATTTTTCTCACATATCTTTAAAATGTTCAATCTTAAAAATTTAATTTACCTTCTTATTTAAGTTTCTCTATCTCATCGCTTGTAAAAACTTTAATTCTTTTTCCTTCATACCATTCTCCATATTTTTTTTCTCCATCTTTTGATATTTACAAACCTAATCCATGTTATTTTCCTTATTTCCAATTTCCTATATATTTTCTTCCATCAACCCATTAAAAAATACCAAATCCTTATTTCTTATCATCTTCATAATTCCCTTTATATATTTTCCCGTCAGGCCATTTTATAGTTCCTTATCCACTCATTTTATTTTAAACCCATTATCCTTCATATACCCTTCCGTCAGGCCATTTATAAACCCCGAATCCTTAAATAACATTATTTTTAAAATCTCCTTTATATTCAGATTTATCAGAAAATTATAAATATCCATTGCCATGTTTTTATCCGTTTGCATAATCTCCTATATATTTAGCTCCGTCAGGCCATGTTTCTACACCTTTCCCATACTTTATTATATATATATATATTTATTAAGAAATAAAATTATTTATATTTATTTGTATTATAACTTTTTTTTTTGTATTTATAATGTTTTATAAACAATTTTAATATAAATATATTATTTAACTTATTTATCATCTTTCCATTCTCCTTCATATTTAGCACCATTTATATGATAATAAATTCCATTTCCATTTGCTTTATCATCGAGCCATTCTCCTTCATATATATCACCATCTGCGTGTGTTAGTTTTCCATATCCTGTGCTTTTGTCCTCACTCCAATTGCCTTCATATTTTGTACCATTGGGCCATATTTATATACCATGACCATCCCTTAAACCATTTAACCATTCTCCTTCATATTTAATACCACCTTATAATTATATTTATTTAAGCTTTTTTCTTGTTTAAGTATTATTCTGCTGTTTATTTTCTCTATGTTTGTTTCGGATATATATTTTTCAGATTTGTTTTAATAATCAGTATTTTAAATTGTATTATTATCGTTATTTTGAATATTTTTTTATTGTATCGTTTGCTTGTTTTCTATTGTTCTTATTAATTCGGCTTTTTCAGCTTTTTTAGTGTTTTCTTTATTTTCTATATTATTATTTGCTATTTTTATTTCGCTTTCTTTGCTATTAAAGTAGCATGTTTATGCACAATTTCCCATAAATATTTTTTTTTAAAAAAAAAAAAAATCGTATATATATACCTTTTTTATTTTAATTAATAGCTTTTTTTATGTATAAATAATTAAAAAAAAAATAAAAATTATTGATTATTAAAAGTAAATTTAATTTTTATTTATTATAAAAAAAAATAAAAAATTGAATTTTTTATTTTTTATAAAAAAATCTTTTAAAATTTTTCATGAAATTATAAAATAATATAACGTTATATATAAATTTAATTTTTGTAAATAATAATAACTAAACTTAAAAATTAAATAATCATTCTTTTTTATTTAAGGAAGAAATATGACTATTATTATTAGCAACTAGAGTTTTTCCTGAACCATATTAAGGTTATCTTTGATTTGTTTAAATATATACATCATACAAATTTTTATTAGTGGCATTTTCAGCACATAATTAACTAAGTTTTTTTTCATAATCTTAAATTTTAGTCTGTGTTGAATTAGAATCAGTGAAATATTTTTCCAATTATTAATATTTTTATATCATTTCATTAATTTATTTGTTTTTATTACATATAACTTCTTTCAAATCTTAAACTTCAGTAGATAAGATTTCAATTTAATTAGAATGAGTATTTTTAATAGAATTAATAGCAAAATTGTTAGAATTTTCAAGTTTTTATCTTAAATCTTAAATTTCTTAAGCTTTTTATTTTTCCAAATCAACTAAATGTTTATTTAAAAAATTCATTTCTTAAAGTAATTTCTTATTTTCATTTTCTTAAATATTTCTATGTAAAAGATTATTATCATTTTCATCACTTTTAAGTAATAAATATTCTAGAATTTAGAAAAAATATATAAATATAAAAATAAATATAAAATTAAAAAAATATATATATACAAAAATAAAAATAAAAAATAAATACAAAAATATAAAAATACAAAAATACAAAATAAATAAAAATATATAGTTAAAAATATGTATATAATTAAATATATATATATATATATATATATATATATATATATATAATACCTTTTGCTCTTTTTATTTCGTTTTCTAAATAGCCTACTTAAGCTTAGTATTTTTTACATTTTTCATTTTTTTAATCTTCTATTTACATACATTTATCGATTAATTCGTTCATTTATTTATTACTTTCTTCTTCTTAATTTTATAGTTTATTCATCAATTCATTTTAGTTTATTTTTAAATTTTTTATATCTACTTCTAAATTTCCTTTTACAGCTATATGTTATGCAATAATAGTATCTAATTCATTATTTTTATGCACTAAAATTTCTTTTATTTTTTCTATTTCTCCTTCTAAAAATTAAATTTATTTTAATTGTTATTACTAAAATTCTTAGTGAGTTTAATTTGCTTTATCTAAAGATTTTGTATATTCTTCGTAATCTCTTTTTTTATCTTCCTCTAGTACTTATTGATTTAACTTTAGTGTTTATATTTCACTGTTTAAACGGTCCATAGCAGAGTTTTAGATATCTCTTTGATTTTATTTTTCTTTTAATTAGTTATTTAATTCCTCTATTTTAGACTAGAGTAGTTTTTTTAGGTCTTAATTTTCACAAGTAAGTGAATTTATTTGATTTTCATGAAGCTTTTTCAATTATTAAATATCAGTAGTATGCAATGAGGCTAGTTTATCTTATAAATCGTTAATTTCTGATTCTTTAATCATATTATTTTCTAGTATTTTATCTTTAAGAGCCTAGTTTTCATTCCTGATGCTTTCAAGTTCATTTTCGAAATTCTTTTTTTGTAATTTATTTTAATTAATAAGGTTTTAAATTTCTTAATTTTTAATTTCGAGTAAATTTTTTAACTTATTCAATTCACTTTCTAAAACATCAAGCTCACTCTAATGCAATTATTTAAGGGAATTCACCTACTCTAATGATAAATACTCATACCTTCTTTTGAGATTTTCGATTTCATTTAAATGATCAAGGTCATTTTAGACTATTTTCGATTTAAGTTTTTCTTTGTCATCATTAATTCTTAAACTTTCTGATTCCCAATAGTCATTTATTTCTTGAATTTTTTCTTTTAGTTCATTATTTTCCTTTTCTCTATCATCTATAATGACTTTTATTTTCCTAACTTATTCCTCGTAAAGGGAAATATTCGAAAAATGAGATCTTTTGATAGACTCGATTTAAGTTTAGTTGTCATCCATTAATTATTATTTACTTTGTTAAGCTTCATTACATTTTTCTTGTTGTAATAAATCATACAGTTTCTTTTGTTATTATAGTTGGTTTGTTAAATTCTTTATTTCGTTCTCGTAGTTTGCTTTTAGTTAGATTATTGTATTCATTTGAGTCTCATATTTATTCTTCCATATGTCAGATTCAGTACGTTATTATGAAAATTATTTTGATATTTAATTATTCTCACCTATTAGTATAGCATTCTACTTTAATATCTCATCTACATGACTTTCTAAATCTTTAGCTTTCTTAGCTTTAAAATTAGCTAGTTCTAAATCAGTATTTACTTAACATAAGGAAGATTCTAGTTCATTACAACGACTTTTCCATAAATCTACTTCGTCTTGTTAAAATGTAGTGATGTTCCTTTAGGGGCTTGTATTCATTTTTTTATAATATACTTGTTTTTAGGATGGGGATATTTTATTAATGTAGAATTATGAAGATGGTTTCACATAATGGATTGGACTCACAGAACGGTTTGGAGAAGGATTATATTTGTTTATTATACTCATTTTTTTAGTTTTTTGTTTGTATATTTACTTTCTTTTTTTTTTTTGATATGTATTTTTTTATATAATTATATATTTGCTTTGTTTATTTGATTTTTATTTTTAGTTTTATTTTTTTTAATTGTTATATTATTAATATTTTGTAATTTTCTTTTATTGAAGTATTATTTTATATAATTTTATGTTTATGTTTTTATTTGTTTATTTAAATAATAAAATTTAATATTTTTTTTAATTTTTTTTATTCTATATATCTTTATATATAATTTTTATTGATTGGTTAATAATTCTAAAAAATTAAAATTTCATTTTTTTTTTTTAAATAAAAATATGTTTTATTTTTTTATTGATATAATCGAAAATCATTTAACAATAGTTTTGTAATAAAATTAGATAAAATAATAATAAAATAATTATTTTTATAAAAATTTAATATATAATAATACTTAAATATAAAAAAAATTAAATTAATATTTAAATAAAAGAAAATATTATTTTTATTAAAAAAATAAATAAATAAATTTTTAAAATATTTTTTTATTTTTAATAAATAAATTTGTTTTTAATATAAAAAATTAAATATCTTTTTTTTTAAATATGGTTATATTAAGAATATTTTTATAAACTAAAATATATATAAAAAAAATAAAAAAATTTAAATGAAAAAAATATTCAAATTTAATAAAAACTAATATATAAATTTTATAAAAAAAAATGATTTTAATAAATTTCATTAAAATATAAAAATTTCAAATACATAAAATATTTCTTAAAAAAATTAAATTATTTATAAAAAATATTACATATATTAAAAAATCTTTTTTTAAATAAACAAATCTTTAAAAAAAATATAATAATAAAATAAATATTAAATTAATAATTTTTTTATCTTTAAATATTTTTAAATATAATTTTTTAATAATAAATTAATTAGCTTAAATAATATGAAAACCTAACATAAAGGATTATATTATTTAAATTCAACAAACTAAATACTATTCCTCATCTTATTCAAATTTAAGTATATTTTAGCATTTAATCATAATACCTTTTCTTAAAAACTACATAATATCCTATAATAAAAATATATAAAAACATATAAATATATATAAAAATATAAAAAAATATATATATATATATATATTTATATATATTATTTTATATTTTTATATATATTTAAAAAACTTCTGTATCTTCTATTTTAAGGATTATATCTTAGCAAAAATTAAGCATATTTATAATAATTTACATTAAAGCTTCTTCACCTTTAAACAAGAACAAATCAATAACTCTTTTTTGAAAATTTTTAGGCGAATTATACAACAAAATCGTGAAAAAATATTAAGGAAAACAAATATAAACACTCAAACCACAATCAATAATTTTTTACCTTATTTAAGGTAATTCTTATTATAATTTTATATCAAATTTATCTAAAATTTAGAATATACCAGGAGTTCCATCTAAAAACAATAGTCTCCAGTTTTTTTATAACATGATATGTACGAAAATCCAAAATACATTTTCTTCAAATGAATTATCTATTATTTCTACTTCTCGGTCATTTTAAGGGTTTAAGTTCAAAAGTAAACTAATAACTATAAAATTCATACCTCCTGTATATCCTACTTCTTTATCAAAATGGGAATATGCTCTTAGTATTCTTTAAAGTCTATTTTATTCATCAATAATCTTATTTTAATTAAAATTTAAATTATAACAAGATATTTAATAAAATAGTATTATAATTATGAAAATATATTAATAATATTATTTATAATAAAATTTTAAATTATAAATTTATTTAAATTATTAATAGTATTATTTTTTTATTATTAATATTATTATTATTAATATTATTATTAATTTTATTATTTTTTTACATTTTCTTTATTGTTTGTATCAAAAATTTATGTGTACTCATTATATGTACGATTTAAATCTTTTTTTATTATATTATCTAATTCACACTCTTTATTTGACATTTCTTTATAATTGAAAAATGCTTTGTATTTTTATTTTTATTAATTAACATTAGATAGTATTAACCAAACATCTTTTCTTCTAAAAATAATATTTATTTTATTAAAATAATTTTTTTTTTTAATAAAAAATAGGTTTTTACATATATTAAGGTATTCCTTATAATAAACTTTTATATATTGAATCCTAGTTTATCTTTTAAAGATATTCATTTGATATAATTTTTAAGAGTTACTTGTTAGAAAGTACTTTGTCTTGATAGCACTTTTGAGTTTCTTATTAATCAAGTACTATAAAATCAAAAAAATCGTCTTCAAATTAAGGCATTTCCCAATCTTTGTGATCCTTTTCTTGTGAAATTTTTATATTTTTAAATTGACTTTTACTTAACAAAGAGTTAAATAGATTATTCATTTTTATATATTTTTTTTTTGGTTATTTATTTAATTATAATTTATTATTTTTTAAAAATTAATAAAAATAATTGAATAAATTAACGCGAAATTTAAAAAAAAAATATAATTTTTCAAAGGAAACAAATAATTATAAAAATATATATATATATAATAATACAGCTTAATTAATAAAATATAAACATAAAAAATAGTTAAAAATTATAAAAGTAATTTTTCTTAATTAGTTCAAAAAATAATAGAAATATATATAAAATATAAGATAATAATTTTATATAAATAAAAATACTTATTAAAATATAATAATGTTTTTTTTTAAAAAAAATAAATATTCATCAATATATAATTTATTAATATAAAATAAAAGCTCATTTTTATTTATTTTCATTATTTTCTATTTTATCAGGAAAAAAAATGGATCTAATATTAGAATTTCCAAAAATTTAAGTCCATCTTTCTCTAAACTAATGTCCTAATTTTTAATTGAACTGAAATTTTATAACTATTAAAAGAAATTGAAAAGGAGTAGTTTTAATAGCTCTTAATTAGTGTCTATATTCCAAATAAGTGACTTCATTACTAATATAATATATATGTTAAATAAAAAGTCCGAAAGTAAATATAAAGAAAATAGTTGAAATAAAAACTAAAAAGAAAAGTTCTAAAATATCTATAGAAACCTCATCAAACTAAAATTAATAACATAAATAAATATCATTCGAAAATAATAATAAACTCATAAAACAAGTAATACAACTATAAAATACATAAGAAATAAAATACAAATAATTATAATCTCCTACACATTATCCTACAAAAAAACAATGATGATCAAGTCTAAATATACATCTATTACACATTGAACAATGATGATCGTCTTTTTATTTGTAAATTTGACAAATTTTACAGTATCTTTCTTGCGAATTTTTTTAAGTATTTATTAATCTATCAGGAGTTTTTGGGGAATAACTTTTTGTGGTTATTGACATATATAAGGATCTTAGTGTAAATACATATAGGATTATTATTATTGTTGTTAATATATTATCTATTATTATATTTGGGGAAATACTTGGGATTATTTATAGGAGGAGGATTTTAAATGCATATAAATATACTATTATTTCAAATATTATTATCCCTTTTCCAATTAATGAATATATTTTTGAATTTAATTTTAATAAGTCGATATTACATTTACACATAAGTATAAGTAAATATTAATTTATATTTAATTATTTCTAATATTATACTTTTTATAAATAATATATATATTTTATAGTATATACAAAAATATATATTTATTATATAATATATACAAAAATATATTTTTAATTTATATTATTTTTATATACATTTATATATTTATATATTTTTTTATCAGTTATAATTTTATTATATAATTTTGTCAAAATTATTTTAGTATTGTAAATGTTTATAAATATTTAGAAGGAGTTTCTATTCTTTTTTATGTATTTTATTTATTAATTTTAATTGTTTTTTAAAGTAATTACTTACCTTTTTTTTTAAAAAAGAAATATAAAATAAAATAAAAATAAAAATATACATTCTTCATTATTTAAATTAAATTTAACTGAATATTTTTTAACAAAATCAATATCATCTTTAAGTATAATCTAATTAACCCTTTCATTTTCATTCATATATTTATCACATTTCTCATTTATTTATTTAAAATATTTAAATTCGTTTAAATTAGAAATATTATTTACTATATCAGTTTTATAACTATTATTTTTATTTAAAGGCATTTACATTTTTTTTTTATTTTTCCCATAATAATTATAAATAATAGAACTCCTAAACTATTTTTTATCTTCATATAGTGTCTTTCTTTATAAAAAAGGTGTTTCTTTTATGTTCTCTTTACTAATAGATACTCTTAGATTGTTTATTTATTTAATATCGTTCCTTTTGTGTGTCATAAGAGGGTTCAAACATGGACTCTCGGATTTGTTTCTAGTATTTTTTTTTATTTCATCAAATTATTAAGCCTTTTATTTTTCATATATTATTGAATCGTGAATATAATTTTTATTATTTTTTAGCTTTTTAAAAGATTATCCACCAGATTTTTGCGATGTAACGTTTTCCTCGTCAGTTTCGTTTATTTTGTTTTCGGTTTCTTTTATGTTCATTAATTTTGTGGAATTTCTTTGTTAACTATTACTATTATTATTATTACTGTTAATTATACCTAAATCTACTACTTAGAAACTTGAACCGAAATATTTATCTAAGGTTAATCCTTCTTATAAACTTTAATTATTTATTTCAGGTTTATTTAAATCTAAAATTTTTTAAATGTTTATATTTTTTGTTAATTATTACATCTTTTACTTCGATTTCTACTTTACATTTTAATTTTTTTTATAAAATATTAAATTATTATAATTATTATTTAAAAATAAAAAATTTAATATATTTATATTTTTTAATTATTTATATTATTATATATCAAAATAAGTTATCTATATATATTTTTATCAAAAATTAAAAAAAAAATATAAATATTTAAGAGACAAAATAAGTTTTTTTTTTTTTTTATAAAAAAAAAAAAAAAAAGTTTTGTAATTGCAATTTATAATATAATTTTTTTATTTTATTAATAGAAATTTAAAAACTCTTATCTTTTTCATATTTTTCATACTGTATTTTTATCTTTAATTAATAAAGTTGATTGCATATTGCTTTTATTTTTTACTAATCAATAAAACATTATTTTTATATATATAAAAAAAATACAAAAATTAATAATAATTACTGGGTTTCTAATGTTAAAATACAAAGATAATAAAAAACTAAGGGACTATATTTATTAATAATTAAACAAAAAAAAGTATCATAGGCCTTTCAAAAAAAAAATAATATAAAATATATATTTTTATATTAAAATTATATGCCATATTATTTCAGAATCATCTTTACATTTATCATAATTAAAATCCTTAAAATTTTAAGGAAATCCGAATAAACTTGTAAAATTATAAAGGACTCTCAAAAATCCACAAAAAGCTAATGAAATCAAACATAATTTTAACTAAAAAAATATAAATATTAAAATATAATAAAAGTGTACTTATTTTTTAAATAAACTATTAGATTATTAAATTTTATTAAGTCTTCTAAGCAATTATATACAACAGAAAATAAAAATAAATACAATTGTAAATGTTACAGTACACGTATAGATATAACTTTTTAATTAAAAAAATAATCATTATCTATTTCCATAAAAATATAAATAAATAAATATAATAAAATATACTAATATTATTAATCTAAATTAGGATAAAATAATAAAATTAAGAGAATTATAGATGCGACTCCAAAAAAAATATAGTGAAAATATTTCAGATATAAAAATCTTTTTTCATGATTACTTATATTTTATAAAATAGAAATCCTAATTTAAATTATTAATTATTTTTAAAATATAAAATAATCATTTTACCATATATTAGATACATAACCTATAATAAGTAATGTATAATATACTAATATTAATTATAAAAACTGATACGAATTTATATATCTTATTAATTAGTTATAATATTCTTAATAATAATCATCTTTTAATATATATTAAAAGTAAATAACAGTATTATAAATATGAATTGAAATTAGATCTAATTGAAATATTAAATATTTTTTTTTTATTAATTTTTATACATATGAATAAAGTAATTTCAAGTAAATTAACTTTTATTGCTATTGTAAATGCATTTTTAATATTATCATCGTTTAAAACAGATTATATTTACCCCCAAAAATGTCTTATTAAGTAAATTAAACTTAAAGATAATATAAAAAGTAAAATTATATTAATTGCTATTGAATTAGTATTTGTATAATCTATTTGCTAGAATTTAAGATTACAAAAAGGCATGACTTTTTATGAATAACTTTTTTAATAAAATATTATTATTTTTTAAATTTTATTATTATAATAAATAAAATAAAATAAGTTTTTTTATAATATAAAACATTTTTAAAAAAAATATATATAAAATAAAAAAAAATAAAAATAAATGAAATAAAAAGAAAGATCTTATATAAAACATACAGCATTAGAAAATCATTTAATTAAATTAGAAATAACATCAATATAAGACGAATAAAATATTTTAAAGTTAAAATAAATAATTATAAATATATATATATGTATATATAAAAAATAAATATATATATATATAAACATATATAACTAATAATTAAAATCAAGATTTTAAAATAAAGCTAAATAATATATTCTATATTTTATTTTTATTAATAGTAGTTTTAAAAAAAATTAATATCTAATTAATAAAATATATAAAATACAATTATATAAATATTTAAATATATATATTAATGTAATAATTTTTTTTTATATATATATTTAATATATATATTATATATATATATGTTTATATATTTTTATATATAATATAAAAGATATTTTTACGATTAAGAGGAAGAAGATGAATTGTATAATGAATTTTATTTTTCTTTTACATTATAATTAATCGTTGATGATCTAAATATATATTCTACAATAAATACTTATTTTACTAAAGAACAAAAATTTGATAAAAACATAATATTTAATTTTAAATATAAAGATTTATTGTAAAATTCAATTATACTAATAACTATATGGTGCGCAAATAAATAATATGATTCAAAGCATCCTTTAGGTAGTACAACAATAAGTTTATTCGATGAAGATTAAAAACTTAGATAGGGAAAGTTTAATTTATTAATATGGCCTGATCAATTACCTGATAAAACATATACTCCTGGTATTATAAATGAGTAGAATTTGGAATAAATAAATACTTGCTTATAAAAAACAAATAATATGATATAAAATTCTAAAAAAATGAAAAAAAACTAAGATTTTTTTTTAAATAATAATAGAAATTTTGTTATTGATAAAAACGAAATTTAAAGTAATATATTTTTTATGTTTAAAAAAATTCCTGCTGCTTTTTTGGAAGTTTTTTTTTATGAATTTGAAAATACTGTAATTTTTTAAAATCCTGAGTTTATAAAAGAATATGAGGACAATCATTTATTTTTTCAAGAATTAGACGTATTTAAAAAACGCGAAAAACAAAATATATAAGAAAATTCTTTTTAAAACAATATTATTGTGTATGATTTTGATTTTTATTATTAATAAGATGATCTTATTTAAGAATAAAATAAAGAAATTTCCAATTAAAATCCTTAAGAGTTAATTCCATCCAAAAAAGAGCTCCTTGTAATCGAAAATTCAATAAAAAACCTATTTTGGGTGAAATAACAGCGGAAGAAAAACACCTTTTTTATAAATATAGATATAATCTATTATAGAATGGCGAAGCTTTGGTGAAATTTTTACATTCAATAGATTGGAATTCAGCAAAATAAGAAGAAGAGGCTTTAAAATTATTAAAATAATGGATTCCTTGTGAATTTGAAGATGCTTTGCATTTATTATCATGCTGTTTTTGTGCTAATGATATTTATATTAATAAAAAAGAAAAAAAACCCTACAGAAGTGTAATTTAAATAAGAAAATATGCCTGCGAAATACTCAAAATATGTTCCGATGATAAAATTTCGTCTTTTTTACTTTAATTAACTTAAGCATTAAGATATGAACCATTTTTATATGATAATAGTTGTTTAGCGTAATTTTTAGTTTAAAAAAGTGAATAAAATACTGAAATTGCGACTTAGTTTTATTGGTATTTATAGGTAGAATGTGAATTTAATAATAATAACAATTTTGTTTAAATAGGTGATAATTTCCAAAACAATGAAAAAGTATTGAGTTGGTTTTAGTAAGTTTTCTAGTAAATGTTAACTAAATTATAGATAAATAATAAAGTTATATATTAAGTTCTTGTATAATAATAAGCTTTTAGAGATAAACTATAGAATTTAGTTTAGATTTTAAAAGGAAAGGATAGGTAATAATAAATTCATATAATCAAAGAAAAATTAAATTCGGAAGATTTTAAATTCGAAAAACATCCTTTCTGTTTAAATACGAAAATTATACTCACAGATCATATTCCTTAATTATCTAGTGTTTTCAAAAGCGCTATGGCTCCAATTAAGCTAACATTTAGAGCATAAGAAATAGATTATAATGAGAACTTAGAAAAGAAAATAAGCTTAGTTGAATTAATTTATAAAAACGGAGATGATTTAAGATAAGATTAGTTAGTAATGTAAATTTTTAACTTAATGGATGTTTTATTAAAAGGAGTTAAATAAGATTTTAAGCTTACACCATATAAAGTTCTAGCATGTTCAAAAAATGATGGTTTTGTAGAATTTGTACCAAATGCAGCAACTATTTAGGACATATTAAAAAGTGATACTATATTAGGCTATATATAAAAATAAATGTAAGATTATAATAATACAATATTATAAGAAAAAATAAAAAAAAATATAAATGATAGAATAATAATAATAATAATAATAATAATAATAATAATAATAATAATAATAATAATAATAATAAGATGAAGAAGAAGATTAATTATTCAATTCAATAACGAATTCTTAATTAATGAATAATTATATGCTTTCATGTGCAGGATATTGCGTAATCACATATTTTTTGGGAATCGGAGATAGGCATTTAGAAAATTTAATGATTGATTCTTAAGGGAAATTTTTCCATATTGACTTTGGGTTTATTTTAGGGGAAGATCCTAAACCATATCCGCCTCCGATTAAATTGTGTAAATAAATGGTAGAAGCTATGGGAGGTTTATAAAGTCCTATTTATTAAGAATTTAAGAAAAAATGTGTTAATGCTTATATATATTTAAGAAAATATGGAAAATTTATTGTTAACTTGTTCCATTTAATGATAAATTCAGGTATTAAAGATATGAGCTTTCAAGCATTGGAAAAAATGGTCGAGAAATTTAATTTAAATTAAAATGATTTTGATGCCGAATTACATTTTTTAAGTATTCTGGATTAAAGCGTAAATGCACTTTTTCCATTCCTTTTCGATATAATGCATTAGTGGTCAAGTTATTGGAAAAATTGATATAAAATTATATATATATATATATATATATATTTATATATATATATTTTTATTTATATATATATTAATTATTATATATATTTTTATATTTTTTTTATTTTTTATTATTTGTTTTATTTAATCTTAATTATTATTTTTTTTATTTTTGTTTTATTTTAAATCAATATTACATAAAATTTAAATAATTCAGATTAAATAATATATATATATATATATATATATATATATATAATTTTTTAATTTTTCATTTTAGAAATAACTCTATATAACCTTCTATTTTATGCTTACATATAGGACATTCTTATTTTTTTATTAATTATAAGCATTAATAACATATACATAAGTGTTTACAGGGTTTAATTATTATATTTTTTATATTTTCGAAACATACATTACACTTTAAATTATCAGAAATGTCAGTTATTTAAGACATCTTTTGTCTATATTAATCTAAGCGTTCACTTTTTTTTCTATTGATTTGTTTTTTTATTATTTTTTATAGCTTTAGTATAAAAAAAATCGTTCCGAAAATAAAAGGAAAGAAAAGTATAAAGAGAATTATTTTTTTTTATCTTATTTTATTCTAGAATAGTTATATAAATTAAGATTTGTCATTCATTATACATTTTAAATTTTCGATTATTATCTCTTAAGTTAAATTATTATATAATACATCTGCAAATACTGTTACATAACTATTATTTTTTAGCCCTAATTCAATTTTCTATATACCTATTCTTATATACTATATACAAAAAAAAAAAAATTAAATAATTATACATTATATATACTTTGTTTTTTAAAAATCTAAGCTTTAATTAAATAATTAAAATTCTACAAAAAAATATGAGTATTTTTTTTAAAAAACCTTATCTAAATTTAACATTTTTCGTTTTAATAACTTCCAAAGCTAATTGAGAATTTATCATTTGTCTAGTTTAAACTTAACACAATATGTTCGTATTAAAGTCTTTCAAAACAATATTATTTACCATATTTACTTGAGGTATTTTATCTGGTAATTATACAGGTAAATAATGCTCTTTTATTGAATCATTGTTTGTATATATGTTTTTTTTGTAATAAATTGATAATAGTACTTCTATGGAATTATCTAATAATGATTATTTTGGTTTATTTGATTTCAATATGCCCCCTATAAATATATTGTTTAATCTTATTTATTAATTTTCTTCAGGTTAGTATGTGTTTTTTATATATTCGATTAATGATTGGGGAGTTTCAACTTGAAGTTAATCATATTAAGTGTATTTTTTTGTCATATTTTGATATTATTTGAAAAATAATATTAAACCTGATAAACTTGTCAGAGAAATTGCACTGTTTAAAATTAATTCCATTTTTTGAATTTATATATATGATTATTGTTATAAAATATTTTAGTATTTTTATTTATTTACATGTATATATATATTTTTTTTTAATTTATCATATTTTTTTTTTTTAATAATAAATACTATTATAATTTTTTTTTTAAATAAAAATAAAAATTAGATATTTTTTTTTTTTAGAATTTTTTTTGTACAAAATCATTAAATTTTATTTATAAATTTTAAATGCTTAAAAAAATAAAAAAAATTTATCAATAAAAATAAATTAATTTATTAAAATAAATGGGATATAAATTAAATTAAATTAAAATACAAAATAAAAATAATTATAACTATAAATATTTTAACTAATAACAATCACTATTATAATTTACACAATAAGATATCGAAAAAAAAATCTAAGAAATATTTGAATAAGAAATAAAAAATTTAAATGTACAATTAATAACCAAATAATACTTAATTCGAGTATTAAATACAATAATATAATCATCCGGAAACACTATTTTTTTATTTGAAATAAGAAAATAATTAATTAAATAAAAAAAATAATAGTAATAATAATAATAATCGAATTTTCTTAAATTATTAAATAGACTATATTAGCTAGCTGTTGATAAGTAAATATAAGTTAATTACAAATAAATGTAAAATTAATAATAACATAATGATTAATAAATAAGAGATACTTTAACTAGGCTTGCGGCTAGGTATAGAAATAGGATTAATAATTTATTAAATTAAGATTAAAGTTAGGACAATTAAAATATAGAGTTTCAAGCTATATAAATACATAGTAGAATTTCTAGTAATTTAGAGAATTGATTTATAATTGTACATCATTTAATTAATTTTGAAAAAAATGATGCTATTTAAAATAAATTAAGTTTAAATAAAATATTATATATTTAATAAAATTTATATATATATATATATATATATTTTTATTAAATAAAATGATTATTTTATTAAAATTTGACTATAACAAATATAAAATATATATATATATATATATATATATATTTATATATATATATATATATAATACATTTGTTTTATTTTTATATTATAAGAAATAAATCAATTTAGAATAAAAATTGATAAATAATTATATATATTCATTATTTTATAATTTTCATATGAAATTATTCAATTCTATTCTAAATCTATATGCAAAAAAAAAAAACTAAAAAAAAAATAAGTATAAATTTATAAAAGATAATATTAAAAAAAAAAAATATGAAGGGAAATCCAGTTTCAAAAAACTCAATGGTTTTTAACAAAGTACTAATAAAAAAATAGAAATAATAAATTTAAAAAAAATTAAATAATAAAAAAAGTCATTTGGTTAACACATTCTAGTAAATCCGCAAATTCTACATTCAATAGTAGAAAAATCAGCCATAAGACCCACTGATATAGTATTAGAAATAGGTCCAGGAACCGGAAATTTAACCTCTTTATTATTAGAAAAAGCCAAAAAAGTAATTGCAATAGAAATAGATCCTCGTATGATTGCCGAATTAAATAAAAGATTTAAATATTCTTAACATGCTAGTAAGTTTGAATTAATATAAGGTGATGCCATCTCATCAGAATTTCCATTTTTCGATGTATGTGTAGCAAATACTCCTTATTAAATTTCTTCGCCTTTGGTCTTTAAATTATTATCACATAGACCTATATTTAGACACGCAATATTGATGTTTTAGTAATAATAATAATAAATTATTTTTTATTATATTATTTGATTTATTTTTTAAAAGAAAAGAATTTGCTATGAGATGTGTTGCTAAACCTGGAAGTGAATTATATTGTAGACTTTCTGTTAATGTTTAATTACTTTCTAGATGTGATCATTTAATTAAAGTAGGAAAAAACAATTTTAAACCACCACCGAAAGTCGAATCTTCTGTTATTAGAATTTAACCTAAAAATCCAGCTCCTTAAATTAATTATTTAGGTAATTTTTGTTTCGTTTTGTTTTTTTATAATTAAAATTTTAAGAATGGGACGGACTTTTAAGAATTTGCTTTATGAGAAAAAATAAATAATTATCAGCACTTTTTAAAATTAAATCGATTTCTAGTCTACTTGAAAAGAATTATGAAGTGTTTTAGAAATTAAAGGCCGCTTAAAATGAGGGAAATATTTAATTTGAAGAACAAAAGACAAATACTAATGATTTACTTAATTTGGTAATGGATGAGGAATTCGAAGAAGATGAATAATAATAAAAAAAAAATAAAAATAAAAATAAAAATGATGATTAAGAAGAAGAAAATGATATGTAAGAAGAAAATAATGAAAATAATGATACAAAATAATTATTTAAAGAAAAAATTTCGAAAATACTTATTGATAATAAATTTAATGAAAAAAGACCTTCTAAACTTGATATCGATGATTTTTTAAAACTTTTATATTTATTTAATTAAAATGATATTCACTTTAAATGAAAATTTTTTATTAATATATACGTATATTGATGTATTTTTGTTTTAAATAGAATAACAAATAAAATACAGTAAAAATTATATTAATTTATATTTATATATATAAAAATATATTAAATTTATTAATAAAAATTCATATTAAAAAACTATTCATATCATTATCTTTTTTATCTTGTTACTTTATATATTTAGAAAATAAAAATTTTATATATATATATATATATATTTACCTTTTCAACCATATGTAAAAAGAAAATAATAACTCCCAAAATAACTAAAATACAAGCAGATGTCATAAAAATAACAATTAAAGAATCTTAAATATTCGAAAATATTTAAATATTCCAACTATAAAAAAAATAAAATTAAATACTTGTAAATAAAAAAATAAATTACTTTTTTGAATCTTAAGAAAAAGGACTTATAATTAATTAACTATTAGGAATAATAGGGTTCCATTATTTATTCTATATAAATAATATATATATATATATAAATATATATATATATATATATATATATATATATATATATATATAAATATATAAAATATTTATATATATTTAAATTTTTATATATACTCAAAGAAATATATATACACATATTTATAATATTAATAAATTAATTACCACTGAATCTATTCCGATATTAAAATTCTAAACATAACTTTTAGTTCTTTAAATACCAGTAACAGTAAAAGGTAATTATAAAGCCATATTTTAACTTTGATATAAATAAACACCTATTTAATATTAAAATAATAGTTTTAAAAGTAATGTATACTTTTCACTGCTTTGACTCCTTGTTTAATTGTATTTATTTTAAATGCACTAGTAGCGCCATAATAATTACTACTTGAACATTAACCTTATTCTCCACTTCCGTTTAAAACTTTATAAAATAAAATATGTAATATATATATAAATTTATAAATTTATATAAATATATATATTTATATTTATATTTATTGTTTTTAATATTATATAACAATAACTTAATGATTTAACATAATAAGATTTAGTTTTCAAATAATTATATATAACTGTTACATCATATTCTTATGTTTTATCCTTTTTATATGTATTTAATATAATATCTAAATAACCATTTTCGTTTATATCAAAAAACATTGCATTAAAAGAAGGCTTTTAATAAATTAAAGCATATTTAGAATCATCTTTAGTCCACCTTAAATAACGTTTATTTTTAAAAACAAAATTTTCACATTCAATACATATTTAAAAGCATTTTATATCTTAACAAGTGTTATTTTCAAAAACATAACTATAAGAATTTTTATCAGAAGATAAATTATCTGTTTATTATATCGTTATAAGCATATCACTATATCCATCGAAGTTTATATCTCCGAATCTAATACTAGGATAGGCATATTCAGATTTGAATTAAATAAATTTATATTCAAATACCATTATATCCTATTAATAAAATTAATATTTAAATTAAATTATTTGATTAATAAAATATGATTTTTACCTTACTTGATTTATTCAATAAATCAATTTATCCAAATATATATTAATTTTCATTTATTTCTTAACATAAATTATCTAGATTTGCTTCTATATTATTATATGCTATTTATATTGTACTTACATTTTAATCTATTATTTCATATATAACTACCATATCAATACTTCCATCGAAATCTAAATACATAAAAATATAAATTTTAATATATATATATATATATATATATATATTATATAATAAAAAAATATATATAAAATATTAACTATAATTATTTTTCTTTTTTAATTATTTATGAAATTACTTATGTCTTAAAATCCTACACTTGTTACTTTATATTCTATAGGAATTATATATTTTTATTTTAGACAATATTTATCATTTTATAATCTTATATAAATTTCGAATACATCTTATTTGTTTTCTTTTTAAGAATGAATAAACAAATCGTCTCTACAATCATTATTCAAATCTAATACAGAACTAAAATGTATATCAGCTAATTTAAAATTAATTACTTCATTTTAGCATTATAAATCTAAAATGTCTTTAAAGTCTATTTTTTCGTGCTAAATATTACTTTAATCGCAATTTTCTCCTGTTTATTTATGAAAAATTATTACTCGTATGCCATCTTTTTAAAGAAATAGACCATGAGAATGATTTTATTTAGTATAAATGCTTTTTATAGGTATTATAAAAGGTTAACCTTTTTCATGATAAGGGAAACTGTCACATATTTTATATTGGAATTATGAGTTTACTTATTCGTTATTGTTTAAAGATTATGGGTCATACATAAATATATTCACTTAGTAATTTAAATATTAATTGTTATTATTCTATGTTTCTGAATTTGATAATAAAATAAAATCTAGATATCCATCATAATTCCAATCAACTTATATATATTTTTATTTTTTTAATATTTTTCTATTTCTTTTTTTATTTTTTACTTGGAATAAAATTTAATATATTTAATGAGCATGGTTCTTTTCCACATATATTTTAACTTTATATAAATAATTTCTAATTAATATCCCAATAATAAAAATAAATGCTTTTTAATGTATGATCTCTTGTTACTATTGTTGTACTTTTATTTATTTATAAATATACTTATTTATTTAATTATTATATATTTACTATTCATTATTTTTCATAAAATGGCCAAATGCTATTATTGATTAATTTGCAAAAGAAGGAATTTAACCTTTTTAATCTTAAGATTGACCTAAAATATTTATTTCATATAAATCTGTATATTTTTTTAAAATTGTTTATAAATATTATTTAAATTTTATATTCAAAACCATGTTTTTTATTATTAAATTTGAAAATTCCAGACCAAAAATCTGATGGTTAATATTATTAAGTAGTAATTAAGTTTAATAGTATATATAGTAATAATAATTAAATATAAAAAGTCATTTTTTTCTTATTTATAATTTTAGCTTATACTAAAATTATTTAAATTATTTCATAAAATTAAATGTTTTATATAGAAACAATAATTAAATTATTTATTTATATATAAATATATGTGTTTTAAAATTTTATTAATCATAAATCATAAATAATAATATAATAGAAAAACAAAAATAATTAAATATAAATAATATTTTTATAAATCTATATAAAATAAAATAATATTTATCTAAATAAAAATGTCTGATAAAAAAGGCCTAAATTTCCACTAATAATTAAAGTTAAGCCCTCTATAATAATATTATAAACTCGGCCGTTTTCCTTGGCGATTTATTGTTCATATATTTTTAGTAGTATTTTCTACATATATGCTTTTGATAATGTTTAATTTACAAGTTTCGCACTCCCGTTCTTAACATTAGACTTTAAAACATATATTATTGAAATCTGATGAATAATCTAACTCTAAATAACTTTATAAATTGAGTGATTTTTAAGATACTTTTAATAATATAGCAAGTGATATTTTAAGTTTAAATGATTAGATGATTCGTTTAGTAAATTTAGAATAAATATATTTCGAGATGATTATATATTATAAATAATTCAACACGGATATTATTGGATAGAATGTAATTTAAATTTCTAAAGAAGACCTTATAAATGGGATAAAATAACCTTTTGATATAAAAAATGAAGATAGTGTAAGGAAATTTATTAATAATGTTAATAGAATTGATTTAGTAGCTCATAACATAACTTCATAGGAAGAGTAATGTAAAAAAAATGTTAAATAAATATTATTATTTATAAAAATAATTATTATAATAATAGAAAAATATGCTATAAATGGAAAATAATAATTTAATATGAATTCTAATAATATGCAAATTTCGTGACTACGTTGGATACGTAAATTTATTTGTGTAATAAAGAAGATTATATAAATGATACTAATTATGTCTTTTTAGATTCAATAGTGATTATATTAGCATCTATATCTTTTGGACTTTCTTTTAAATAAATATACGATGTTTTTATGATGTTTATTAACCAAAAAATTAACTATGAAAAAGCAAAATAATAAATTTAGCATTTGAAATTAAGAAAAGATAAATAAAGTATAGATCTATTGAGATAATAATACAATTATTTAATAAAATAAAGAACAAATGATGAAGATATTGAAGATGAAGATGAAGAAGAATTAAATAATATTATAGAAAACGATAAAAAATATGAAGAAGTTGAGCAAGTGAATTTCTAAAAAATTAAAAAAATAATAATTTGGATAATAATAAGTATGATAGGAAATATAATTTTAATAATAGGTATAAATAAAAAATATGAATAAATAATATTTATATTTATATATATATATATATATATATATATATATATATATATATATATTATTTTTTTATTTTAGGCTGCTTATTAGCATTAATAGATAATAATTCAAAATATAGTTTTTCCCTAATAAGATATAGAGAACCTATTATTGGAACTGGATGTACTATTTCATGGATTGTTATGTTATATTATTTATCATATTATAGGGGTATTAATTTAATGGCATCTACTATTTCAAAAGCTTATTCGAATATATTTATGTTTTTTTTAGGCGTAATGCCTTTATTTTGTGCTTTTGTATTTTTAGCTTAATGTATTTTTTGGAAATATGAAATGTTTTAAGATACTTAGACTACTATTATGACTCTATTTTCATTGTGTAATGGGGATAGTGTAAATGATATTTTTTTGGCAACTTCTTATGATGGGTTTTTAAGTTAGACTTTTATCATTGTTTTTATGATTTTTTTTTTTACAGCTGTTTAAAATATTTTTATTATTATTGTCATGGACGGATATGAAAGTTATAAAAATGAGAAATAAAAGAATAAAAAATAAAAAATTAAATAAAATTAATAAAGTATATATATATACATAATATAATTTTTTATATTCTATTATATATATACATTTTAATATATACACATATTTATATATTTACATATAATATAAACAGTTAATTCAAGAGATGATTTTTATGATAATTTTGAAAATAATTAGTTAGATGTTATTAAAAAAGAAGAAAATGATAAAGAAATTGTGATTGGGAAATTGAAAATTAATAAAAAAAGAGTCAAACTTATTTTGTAAGAAATGGATAATATTTATTAAGATTTATAAAATAATAAAAATATGAAGCCTACTGATATAGAATATCTTAAGAAAGTTTATAAAGATAATATGGAAAATTTAAATAGAAACTTGAAATTTTAACTTGATTGCTTCGCTAAATGATTAAATAAAATAAAAATATATTTTTTAATATATAATAATTTAAAAAAATATATTTTAGATATATATATATATAAATATATATCTATATTTTTCTTTTTAAACACACAAAATGCTTATATGCATATTTATTTATATTTTTATAAAAATTAATTTTTTTCATATACTACAACAACTTTCGTTTTATTTATTTTAAGTATTATTATTAATATTTTATTTTTAATTTTATTTGTAAAAAGAAGAATTGTTTAAATTTTTAATTTTATCATTATTTTTATAAAAACTATCATTAATACTTTCATTAACAATAGATCTTTTATTTAAAAGTTAATAAATTTCTAAAAAAAAATAATAAAAAAAAAAATAATTTAAAAAAATAAAACCTGTAATAAGTCTATAAAAAGATAACTCGACATTACTTGAATCCAAAGCGGATGCCTCTATAAAGGCTATATTATTATTTTCTGCAAAAAGGGTCGCCTCTTCTTATTTTACTTATCGAAGGTGTTTCAAATCGGATTTATTACCTACCAACATTATGACTATATGTGGTTCTGCATGATCTCTTATTTCATTTAACCATTTTTAAATATTTGTAAAAGAAAGATATTTTGTTATATCGTATATTAATAAGGCTCCTACAGCCCCTCGATAATATGCTGTAGTTATTGATTTGTATCTTTCTTATCCAGCAGTGTCCCATATTTGTGCTTTTATTAATTTATTGTCTGTTATAATTGAACGTGTGGCGAATTCGACACCTATGGTGGTTTTTTAATCCTAAAAAAATTAATCCTTTGTAAATCTTGATAATAAATTTGACTTTCCAACATTTGAATCACCTTTTTATATATATATATATTATTTATTTATTATTGTTGAAATATAGAGTTTTTTTGTTACCTATTAATACTATTTTAAATATAAAATCATGTTCTTCGTCTTTTTTAATAGTCGTCATTTTTTTTTTTAGATTTTTTTCTTTTATTTTTAAAAATATGGAAATATTTATTTTTTTAAAAAAAAAAATAATAATAATAAATTATTTAATATAAACAAAAAATTATAATATTTTTTTTTTTTAAATAATAAAGAAATAAAATGTTTAAACAATAAAATAAAATAAAAGAAACATATATTTATTTATTTTTATAGTAAAAACAAACAATGATTATAAATAAAGTTAATAAATTTAAATTGTTTTAAAAAATATTATATAATATAGTTATTTTAATTAAACTAGAAAAGAGAAAAAAAAAGAATTTTTTTTAAGTTTTATAAATAATAAATAAGCATAAGCATCAAATAAATTAAATAAGGCCTTATTTATTTAATATCTAAAGAATGTTTTCATCAGTTTTAATCATTCTTCCATCTTAATCAAATATATAAAAACCGTGAATATCTTTTAAATATCCACCTTCATCAGGAGTACATAGCAATATTTATAATTAATTTTTTTACAAATATGCTTTTATATTATTAATAATAAAAATTATAAAATAAAATAAAATAAAAATAGAATACTTTAAATCTACATTTATATTTTTGATAAAGTATTTAAAGAATTAATAGAAATATTCTAAAGTTATTATTATAAATTATTTTGCTATTAAGTATATTAATGCTTTTAAACTAATTATTATTATTAATAATTATTAATATTATTATTATTATTATTATTTATTATTATTATTATTATTATTATTTTTATTATTATATTAATAAGATTAGATTATATTACTTTCATCTTCACAATCTTCCTCATTAATTTAATCAATTTAATACTTTATATTATTCATATTATTATTTTTTTTATTACTTTGACTGTTTTTTTCCCCTTCATCTTAACTGTCACTAAATGTTTCTTCTTTATAATCTTCAAATTGATCTAAAATATCCTCTAATGGTAATTATCTGTAATGACTATTTTTAATACTTAAAGGTGTCTCGAATTTCTCGCTATTATTTTCCAAAGCTGAAAAATTTATTGGATTATCACTATCTCTTTAATATTCTTAATTATGAAAATTTGATATTATATCATTTTTATTATTTACAGTAAAACTTTATATTATATTTGTGGACATTTAATGATTATTATTATTACTATTATTTAATTAAATAGATGAAGTATTATAATTTTCTTATAAATAATTTATTGAATTTGCTTAATATTTAGATGCTATTAAATTATTATCTATATTATTATTATAATTTGAACTATTTATATTATTTTAAGTATTTATATTATTATTTTTCTAAGTAAATAATGGATTTTCTTATGATTTATTTTAAATAATTTATTAAATTTAATTAATATTATTAATTTTAGGTTTAAATATAAGTTTTTTAACTAAGTATCTAATTAAAGTTTTATTTAATTTAATTTATTTTCTAAAAATATTATTTTTTCTTTTTTTTAATTTTCTAATTAACTCATATTTTCATTTAAATTAATAAGATTTTTTTTTATTATTCCTATTTCCTAATTTTCATACTTAAATGTAGTTTATTATATCCTTTCTTATTATTTTTATAAATAAACTACTTTTTCTTCCAATTCGATTCTTTTTTAGTCTAAAAATTATGATTTTTGAACATTTTCGTTCATTTTTAATATCCAATTTTAAATAATTTACATGTCTTATTATATTTTTTTTGCGTTCTCATTATCTTTTGTTTAATTTTAGTTTATTTGTAAAATTTTCTTATCAAATTAGCACAAAATTAGGCTCATTTTTTCGTTTAGAGTTGCTTAGATTTCATGTGTGTTTGAATTTGGTATTTTATTTTTAAGGTTTTGTATATTTAAGTATAGATTTTCACATTTTTAATCCTATATTTGGTTAAAAATCTGCCTTATTTATTAAATATCAATTTTATCATTTATTTAAGGCATTTCTTTTTCTATTTTTTTATATATTTCTATAATTTTTTCTTCATTAAATTACTTTTTCTATGAAATTATTTATAAGGTATTATTTAAATCTTAAATTTTTTATAAATAAAACATTTAATGAAAATTAAAATCATTTTTTATTAAAATATTGATATTTTTAGATGTATTTTTGGTTAAATTTTATTATAGAACTTAAATGTTTTATGTATTTTCATCATTTTTATTAGAAACAGCATTTATTTTTTAAGAATTTTACAAAATTTAATTTTATATATTTAAAAAAAAATCATTTTATATTTTTTACATTTCCTATTTAAGAATTTAATAGTATTTATTTTATTTTTTTTCTTAATTATTTATTTAAGTATTAATTCTTATGATTTTGAAATTGCCTGGTTTTTATAAAATTTATGTGTTAAAAAATTACTATTATTATTATTATTATGATTATTATATTATTATTATTATTATTATTATTATTATTATTATTATTATAATATTTATAAATATTAATAATCATATATTTAACTTATTTTTTTGTTATTATTAGTTATCTACAAAGGAACTTTTTGAATTTATTATTGTGTAGTAAATATTGGTTATCTATTTTTTTTTGAATTTTTATCAGCACCTATTTATGGACTTAAATATTTTGGATTTGTGTTTTTGTATATGAATGAACTTTATTTAGATGATTATAATTCGTCTATTGATTATTTTTGAATTGTACTTATATCGTTTATATTCATATTTATTTTTATTTTATTAATTTTTTAATTTATATATTTTTTTATATTAAAAAATATAAATACAATTTTTTTTAAATTTATATTTATTTTAAATTAATAATTATTTTTTAAATATAATTATATTTTTAAAGAACATATCAATTAATTTTTTTATCTTCAATAAATAAAAATGAGATAATATTTTAAAAAAAAAGATTAATATATAAAAAAAAAATATATTTAATAATAATCAAATATATATAAAATATGTTAAAATTTTGTTAATTATTTATATTATATATTTAAATAAAATACATATTTTTTTATCTATATATTATATATTATATTTATTTTTAAAGTTAATATTTTTAATTTAGATTATAATACATTTCTATATTTTTTACATATATTTTCATATCATCTGATATATATATATAATTATAATTTTATTTCTTATAAAGTTTTAATATTTATACATAAGATGCTATTGATTGTTATTTTTTTAAAATATTATAATTTATTTAATTTTTTATTATAAAAATCTATTTTTTATTTTATCCATATGTATTCGATTTATTATTTTGAAATAAATATAATATTAAAATTAAATTATTTTTAGAATGTCTCTATAATGTTAATTAATATATTTTTATTTTATTTTATTTTTATTTTATATATGTTTGTTAAAATAATAAATTCTTTAGAATAATTAAATCATGAAAATTATTTTTTATTTTATGCTTTGTATTTATTTATAGTTATTATTATATTAAATTTATTATATAATTTAATTTCAGGCTTTTTTATTTATATTAATTCTTCTTTTAGAATTTGTTTTAAATCTTTCCTATTTTTCCAATTTTTCTTTATTTTCGATTAACTTTATTTTACTTTTAAAAGACAATCCTTGCCTTCTATGTCACTCTTGATTAAAGTTCAGGATAAATGATATATTTAGGATTAATATATTAAAATTAAATGTAATATTTTCAAAAAATTATTCTATGTATTAATTTAGATTTTTTTTAGGAAATTAAAAAAACTTGAACGTTAAAATAAAACCCTTATTTTATTCTTTATTTATAAAATTATATTCAGGATCCAAGCTAGCTTTGTACTTGAATTAAATTAATAAATAAATTTTTAATAATAGATTATAAGCGTATTAGTGATCAGGAATATATTTTTAGAATGTAATTAATTTATATATTCTTTATTTGCTATTCGTTTTATCTTATTATCTGCGTGGAACACTTATTATTTAATATCGAATAACTTTGTAACTTATTAAGACGGTTTAATTGTAGTTATTTCAGAATCAAAATATATTACTTTATATAATAATTTATGGTTATAGAAATTGAATTTAGTGTATTTTTTTTTAGTATATTTTTACATTTTATTTTTTATATATTTTTGTATTTAGATTATTTTTTTGCTTGTATTAAATAAGATAGATAGTACTTATTTTTTTAATTTATAAAATATAAGTAATTTCAATTATTAATACTTATATTTTAAATAACTCTGATATATTAGATAGTTTTATTTATTTATTTATTAATAAAATATTAATTTTTTTGTTTCTTATATTAAACTAAAATTTGATTTACTTTTTTTATAATTTAAATATTAATTTTGTTTATAAATATATAAAATATTTATTTTATAGAATAATTGATTTATTAAGATATAAACATTTTATAAAATTGTAATAAATATTTTTAAAATATTTAAATTATATTTTTTTGGAAATATTTTTATTTCATTAAAACATTTAAAATAAACTTGATAGTACTAAAAATAAAATAATTGTTTAGAAAATAAATAAATATAAGTTTAAATATATATAAAAAAAATTAAAAGTATTTTTATAAAAAAAAAAGAAATTAAAATCTTATATTTATGTATATAGATTAAAAATAATTTTTTTATTTTTAAATTTATATATAAAATTATAATATAATTATAAAATAAATATATCAAAACATAATTTATATTTTAATTTAACTCTTTATTATAAAAATAATACATTTTAATAAAGCAGAGCAATAAATAAAAAGAAAAGTAAAAAAATAACTTTTTTTAAAACTCATCTTCAAAAAAAAACACTCCATATAAAAAAAAAAAAATCTAAAGCAAAACTAATAAAACAAAAGCAATAAAAAAATGCACACAAATGAAAGTAGCCAAATGACATCTAATTTGTCAAGCGCATCACGAGTAAAGCATAAAATTATATTTTTGGGAGATCAACATGTTGGCAAAACGTGTATTATTGAGCGTTTTATGTACGATGTTTTTGATGAAAAATCGCATGTAAAAGGCTTTAAATTTATATTTTTATATAATAATTAAAATAAATAAATGATTAAATAATATATATTAAAATTTTAATTAAAAAAAAAGCCAACTGTAGGTGTTGATTTTTTGGCAAAAACATTACATGTAGATGATAAAACTATCAGATTATAATTATGGGATACTGCCGGATAGGAAAGATTTAGAAGTCTAATTCCAAGTTATTTAAGGGATGCAACATGTGCGGTTATTGTTTTTGATGTTACGAGTAAAATATTTTTATAAAAATATTATTTTATTAGTAAAATTAAAAAAAAAGATAAGGAAAGCTTCAGTAATACAGAAAGATGGATTAAAGATTATAAAGATAATAGAGGAGCTGAAGCTCCATGTATTTTAGTTGCTAACAAAATTGATTAAAAATTATGTATTTTTTTTTATATTTATTCTTCTTTTTGATATTATAAAAAAATAAATACAAAAAATTTAAGAAAGAGAAATTAGTTAAGAAGATGGTGAAAAAAAAGCAAAAAGTTTTGAAATGAATTATTATGAAATTTCAGCAAAAACAGGCGAAAATGTTGTTAATATGTTCAAATCTATGGCTTTATAATTAAATCCATCTGATAATATTGTTTCACCAACTAAATAAGGTATTTTTTATATTTAAATAATATAAAAGATAAATTACAAAGGAGAAAATGGTTAATAGAATATTCCATAAATTTAAAATAATTAAGAAATAAAAATTAATAATAATTAATAAGTACTTTTTTTTTATTTAGGTTATTTTTTTATTTTTTAAAGTAAACACAAAATATAAAGCTAAGTGAAGATAAAACTGGTGATTAATAAAATTAATAAAAATAAAAAGAAGGATGTTGCTGAAAAAAATATTGAAAATTAAGATTATTTTTATTTTTAATAAAATTGTTTCTTTAAAAGAAAAAAAAAAAATATATATATATATATATATAAATATATATTTAAATAATAAATTAAATACAATAATATTTTATTATATAAAAAATAATAAATTAAATATATTTAAATTTCTATACTTCTTTTTAATATCAAGTTTTTTTTTTTTATAAAAAAATCAATAAAAAAAAAAAACCCTTTTTCAATTTTATCTCATATATTATTTTTGTTGATTATATATTTAAATATAATGTTAAACAAAAATTATATTATTAATAAAAAAAAAAAAAAATTAACTTTGAAATATTTGATATTTATTTATCTTGTAATTTACTTTATCTATTGTATATAATGAAAAAAAAAGTTTATGAGTTTATAAATATGTGCACGAATATTTATAAAAAAATTTTAAAAATATAAAAAAATTTATAAAATTTAAGGGTATAATCTTATATTTAAAAATATAATAGATTTTTATTTTTAATTTTATTTTATTATTTAAATAATTATATATTTATAAAAAAAAAAAAATGTTAATATTAAATTAAATTTAAAATATTATTTTAACTAAATTATTGTTTCATTAGATTATAAATATAATTAAATAAAATTAAAATATTAATATTAATACAATTATTTTAATTAATTATATATATATATAAATAAAATTAAAAAATAATTTTAAAATTTATTATTTATATATTTATATAATTAATTATTAAATATTAATGTATATTTAAACTTATAAATAATATAATATAATTTTTATTATAAGAATATATAATATTTTAAATTTTATATAGAAAATAATAAAAATATATAAAAAATGATTAAAATGAATACATATTAAAAATTATAATATAGATATAGATATATATATATATATATTTATATATATATTTAATATATATATATATATATTTATTTTATATATATACACATTATTTTTTAAATAATTATTATTATTATTTATTATACAAAAAAATATTTTTTATTTTTTAATTTTAAATATCTTTTTTTTCTATATTATATATTAATATTAGAATTTTTTATTTATAAATTTATATATATATATATTTTAATATAAATTTTTATATTATATATATTTTATATATTATTTTATATTTTAATTTTTTTTTATATATATATTTTGAATCAAAATTATAATCATTTTTAAATTTTTATTTTTTTTCTTTTTACTTAAAAGAAATTCCTTTTAAATTATACATTTTTATTAATTTTTACTTTACTTTAATTTTCAATATTTCTTTATATTTTATTTAATAC